GCCTGGAAGGAATCTTCAGCTTTTTATTTTCTGTGAAAACACAAATAAAATATCTTTTCTAAAGTAACATATCCTTATACTTAAATTTTGAAGTCAAGGCATTTTCAAAAGATATAATTTGAATTAATTTAGCAGCATTTATAATCAAGTGTACTTTAGCAGTTTTTCCTTTCTGAGCAATCAAAAAACTGAAAAACACAATAGTATACAGTATCTAGACTCTCTGTGTATTTTCCATCTTTACGTGGCTTATTTATTTATTATTATTATTCTATTTCTTTTACTTTGATTTATTCTTCTCTGAGACAGGGTTTCTCTTTGGAAATCTGCCTGTCACTGCCTCTGCAGCTAATCCTACCGGCATGCGCCACCACAGCCAGCTTCTCTGTTTTTATTTGCCACTATGCCGTTTTTCTTTATCTCTCTCAATCTTTTTAAACACACTATAGACCTTTAGAGGTTTTTCTTCATCCAAGTCTGACTTTACTGTAAATCTTTATGTTTTTCTGGCCACGTGTCTTATCTGTTAAAACCGCCGCTGTTTAAACTGCAGTTTTTCCAAGATGGTGGGCGTAAGCGTGATTCCAGCTCATTGCCTCAGTCTATGCTCGGAGATGTGGTCACTGCCACTTCCGGCTGTATGCACACACCTTTTAATTGTTAGCAGAGACTCTTAAAACAACCTTGATTTTTTTTTTTAATGCTGAGTCAGGAAGACTCCCTTAAGCAAGCCGCGTGAGTCTTTGCTTGTCGCTAGCAAAATAGAGCACACCTGAGAAAATGCTGCTACCAAGAACCCATGCTTTTCTCCATTCTTTTGTTTCTAAAATTCCCTTAAATCTTTTGTTGTTCTACATGGAAATTCATCATCCCATTCCTGATCACCATTATATAAAGAGAAGCCTTCCCGCCAGCCTGGTTCCAGAGCCACATCAGTCCCAAATAAACCCACAGGAGGCTATATTAATTATGAAACTGTTGGCCTTGCTTTGTTTCTTATTGGCTAGCTCTGACTTAAGTAATTACCCCATAATTGTTAATCTAAGTATGTCTCTTACCAGAGAAGTTTCCGGGCTTCCTACCCCATGGCGTTACATCTTGACTTGCTGTGTTTCTCCTACCAAGAGTCCTCCTCGACTCCTAGTCCCACCTATCTTGCTTCCCTATTGGACAACAGTGCTTTATTGACATATACACAGAACTTCCCCAACACTGTTCTTAGCTCACAGTGGTTGCCATTAATCCCTGGCTTCCTCACCTTGTGGACATACCACTCCAGGCTGCCTCCATGCTCTCGTTACCTTTCTTTTTGGGCTTTGGCCATCACTTTTTGTTGTTGTTTGTTTTGTTTTTTTCTCTCCTTCAGTGTCAGCAATTAAATGTTGTGACGTGCCCAACATTTTAATAGCATATGTTTCAATGGGAAGAGAAGAAAAATATATTTCCTTTTTCTGTAGTTCAAATGATATTTTGAGTACTTATTGCACGTGAGCAGTTGATTTTTTCTAAGCCCTAAAATAGATGAAATCAATAAGTTAAATCTGTAGTCTAATCAGGAGAAATTCTTAGCATTTGATTTCTCCATAGACATTAGTGTATGTAATTATGACTTCTTGGGTATGTAAAACATACAAAAATGTGTGTTCCTTGGGAAGTAACATATTAGCAGTTACACTGTATGCTTTAAATGACTTGACATTGGTGGACTGCATGGTCCAGTGACTTCTCTTTTGCTCAGGCTCTTCTGCTCTGGCTCCTGATCACCTATGCATTCTTTGAACATATCTTTTCACTTCTGTAGCCTTTGCATTTCCTTCTCTTCTCTCCCGAGTCCTTTACCACACTTCTGCTCAGTCTTTACAACAAGCTCATACATTATATCCTTTCTCAAGGCAAGATGATGCCCCATTTGTATTGAACTCGTAAGTGAGTGAGTAGAGGGGAATGAACCAGTGTTCCATGATGGGGACCTGGATTCATAGTCCTGCTTCTTGATGTGTGACTGTGAGCTTGACCAGGCCACTCAGATGCTTAGTTTACCTATTTGATCATTATTTCTGACTAAAGATGGATCTGAAGTCCTTTGCCTAGAACATGGTGGATAACAGTCAATGTTGAGAGAATTGTTTGTTCTGTTGTATAGTGGTCAAATTGTACTCACCTCACTGTAAGCAGATCAGATGTCAGTATTTTGGATGAGAAGCCATGAGCCTTCCAAATCCAATAAATGAAATGTTAAAACAGCAGAAAAATCCATCCAATAGGGAAATGGTTGACTTGAATTTCTTTCATGTTTTAAGAGGAAAATGGAGACTGAGGGAAAGATGGAGGGAGAGAGAGGGAAAAGAGGAGAGGAGGGAGAAGAGGGAAAGAATGGGAGGTGGGAGAGAAGAGGAGATGAAGGAAGAGACCTAGGGTTATCTCAAATATAGAATCTTGCAATCTAGAGGGTGAGCTTAGGGTGTCTTCAGTGTTCACACCTTTACACAGTGGTTAATAGACATCTTGGGGACAGAATTATTCTTAGAGACTGATAATTTTCCAGAAACTTATTGTATTTAGTAATTTTTGGAATTACTTGAGAGTCTGAGGCAGGAGGATCTTAAGTTATTATTATTATTTTTTAATGAAAAGGAAAAAGCTACACTGGAAAAGTTTAGCATCAATTTAGAGCAGCTAGTATGACAATCTTCATGTAACTATACTTGACTTTGATATAAATGAAATATTCTGCCATTCTGTTTCATTCTTTCACTCTCACTTTTGTTTGTTTTACTAGAAAAGAGGGGAGCTGTGCAAGGTAGCAGCTAGATTCTAGCACTACATTCTTGCAATTATAATAAAAATAATTTCTTAAAAGGGTTTAATAGCGAGTCTATATTGGATAAAGTTTTGAAAAGTATGTGTTTGTTTAATTAATTTGTGTGCATGCATGTGTGTTTGTGCATAGTTTAGGACCATGCACATGCTAAGTAAGTGCTCTATCATTGAGCTATATTGACAGTCCAATAAAGTCTTTTTCCTATCACTTTTGTTTAAATCAGAATGTAAAAACTGAATACAGACTGTATTTTTGAATATGCATATTGTTTAATATGCTTAATATGTGACAATTCTGTTTCTGTGCTATTTACTACTAAAGAATTGTAAAGGCAACTACTATGTAACTACTATTATATACACATATTACATACTATATATTATTTTACACACACATATATACATGCATATATATGTATATATATGTTATATATATATATATATATAGAGAGAGAGAGAGAGAGAGAGAGAAAGAGAGAGAGAGAGAAATATTTGTGTATGTGTGTGAAAGAGTTAACCACATCGACTTGCCCTCCCATGAAGCAATAGTTGGCCCATGCCGGTTGGAGACTTTCAGCTCCTGTAGACTCTTTCATTCTTTCTCACAAACACAAGGCCCCATTGTACCAACAAGAACAACTTCTTTATGCTGCCAGCCTAGTGCATAAAGCCTTGATGAGCTTCAAGCCACCATTCCAACCCCACCTCTACTATCAGGCGATGAAAATGAAGGACTTTAAATGGATCTTAAAGTCCTAAAACATCCCGAATCTTTAAATAAATGTTTACTTTTGTGTACTGTTTTCACTTAGGTAGTGACATAAGCTAAATGTTTAGATTTTTCCAGCATAAGACTGGATCCTCAAGAGTTTAAAAACTCCTAAATTAACCTGAGACTCCATGACTCAACATTTCTCTTTATGTGAGCATTTTAGTTCATCTGCTCTTCTGCCTTGCATTCTGTATTAATATCTTTCCTTATCACTTTGACAAAATGCTCCAAGGGAAGAACACAGGAATGATTTAGTTTCCTCACAGTTTGACGGAGCACAGTCTAGCATGGCAGGGAAGTCACAGCAGAGGATGACTGTGGCCTCATTTCATGGCCGAACAGGAGGACAGGGTTTCAAGCCAAGTGCCTACAGCCCTATATCTGTGATCTAGGCCCCATATCCACAGAGATCCATGCTCTCCCAGAACAGTACTATCTGTTATAGGCTAAGTTTTCAAACACATGACTCTGTGGGAAAATTTTCACATCCAGACCACAACAACAGCTTCTTTCACCCGCGTGAAGGTTTGATTTTTAAGGGCTTCTAGGCAAGCTGCCATAGGACACTAGTCTTCTATGACATATGGGCCATCATTTTGATTCTCTGTGTCACCTATGCAGATGGAGGCAAACAGCCTACCAATGTTGTGAAATAAAGTAACAGATGTGTAATTAGCTTGTAAACTGTATGGATCTATATTTTAACTAGGCATTACTGTGCATAAGGGCATGCTGAATTATACATAACACACTCTCTTATATCCTCATTTACTTACTCTGCTGTTCCTTGCTCTGTAATGCCCTTCAAAGTAATTGCTAGCAATCTGTGTCTGAAATGCCTTTGTGCCTGTTTTTTTATAATATCATTTGTCATTCCATATTAAGGTCATTTGTTCACATCTCTGTCTTTGATGAGATTCTGAGAGAAGCCTTCATTTATTCCAGGCTTGGCATACTGCTAACCCTCAGTGTCTACTGAATTGAATTGGGTGGATCTGAATAATTATTATCTTTGTGTCTGTCTTAAAGGACAAAATCCATGTCTATCCAATTATTCGAAGTATCCTTGGGTAACTGACCACCCTTGGAATTTGTTAAAAGTGTTTTTGAAGATAATGATGATGCAATATTTCATGAAAATGGAGTTCTGTATTTTTCACAGCAAATGATCATAAATCTTGGGCATATTATTTGCAATTTTATCTGACTGACAGTGAAAGAATCTGGATGCAGGATGCTTAGAATTTGAGACATTTTTATGTGTTTCACTAGTTCAGTAGGTGGCGGATCAGTCTCACAAAATACTTTTATGTGCTGCGAAAGACTGAAGCCTTTGAGAGAAGATGTCACCTTTGGTCCCACTTCTTGGGCTCTCTTGATGAACTTAGAGCTCTCTTCTCTTTTACAGCTGGTTTGCCATCCATCCTGTTAGCATGAACAATAGCAACCACCTTGTAAGTAGTGACAATATGGGCTATGCAGCTTACTTATTTGAGCAAGAGAAGAACAGAGGCTATCTACCTGGACAGGTGAGAATAATGTCACTGAAATCTTCATCTTGATTCAAATTTCAAGTATAAAGTGTTCTCATGGGCTTTATGAATATACTTGAATAGAAAGAATTTGCTGGTCTGGAAATGGCTCAGTTGTCAAGAGTATTTGCTACTTTTATAGAGGACAGGGCTTGGTTCCTTGCATCCATATCAGGAGCCTCATAACCACCTACAACTCCAGTTTCAGGAGATCTGATCCCTCTTCTAACCTCTATGGGAAATGCTCATGTGCACATTTGTCTGTCTGTTTATTTATCTTCTCCCAGCGTGGAAAGAAATGTTTCAAATAATAAAGTCACTGTTCTTAGTAGCAGATGTTTCTTATATTGGTGGTTTCATAAATTTACAATCAATTATATGAGAATGATCATTTCTATATTCTTGTAGGCTGTGATAGTCTTCGATTGGGATGGTAATATGATTCACTGCACTGATGTTAACTTTAATTCTTAGTGCTATAAGATTGCTGTATACCTTCTTAGTGGTGTAAAACAATGAATGGAGACATATTACTAGAACTTTGTATTGATTCAGGTTTTCCTAAAGAAAAATTCCTTCCAAGGACTTTATTTTTCCAATAACACGTAAGCTGGGGAGATGTCTCAGCAGTTAAGAGAACTGGCTGCTTTTCTAGAAGACGCAGGTTCAATTCCCAGAACCCACATGGCAGCTCACAGCCATCTCTACCTCCATTCCCACTGGCTCTAACTCCAACATCACATTCTGGCCTCCCCCAGGCACAGCATGTACATGGTACATGAACATACAAGCAGGCAAATACCCATGCACATTTAAAAAATATCTAAGCCCCAGAAACTCTAATCCATGACACCTGTGACCATGAAACTCATCTACTATGAGAGATCTGAAATAAGGAAGCCAATTGACTTACTACAGGAACTCTTAAACTATGGGTAACTAGTGACTGCAGAGAGGCACCGTTCTGCATGGCCACTTGATGCAAACACCAGATGTAGAAGAATAAAAATGATAAGAGTCAAAAGTCATAGTGACCTCATTTTAAAAATCAGATCTTTTAGCTCCTTTATAGACAAAACTCTACTTTCCCCCCTTTTTTTAAGCTTGCATTGATTTTTCTGCCTTATTTTTCCCTCTGTCCTCCTTGTTCCCATTCCTTCCTCCCTTTCTTTCTTCCTCACATTCATTCTCCCCCCTCCTTTTTTCTTTTTGAGAAGGCCTTGCTAAATTCTAGGATAATCTTGAATTTATGATCTTCCATCTTCAGTCTCCAAATTTTCAGGATTCCCAGTGTGTACTACCAGGCCATTTGGGGAAAGAGGTTCTCTTTTACACTTAAAAGGGTCATTGATCCATGTCTTTCTCTAAGAAAGCTGGAGATGTTTATTAGAAACTGTGGAAGAGGTGGGTCAAGACTGATGCCTGGTCTGTCTCTAATCTGGTTGAAGAAAGGAGGAGCTCACAGGGGCAGCCTAGATGATGACTTCAAGGAGCTCATAGGGGACTAGCCTAGGTGATGACTTCAAGGAGCTCACAGGGGACTAGCCTAGGTGATAACTTCAAGGAGCTCATAGGGGACTAGCCTAGGTGATGACTTCAAGGAGCTCATAGGGGACTAGCCTAGGTGATGACTTCAAGGAGCTCATAGGGGACTAGCCTAGGTGGTGACTGTCAAGGAGTTCACAAGGAAGCAGCCTAGGTACTGACTGTCAAGGAGCTCACAGGGAAGCAGCCTAGGTACTGACTGTCAAGGAGCTCACAGGGGACTAGCCTAGGTGATGACTGTCAAGGAGCTCACAGGGGACCAGCCTAGGTACTGACTGTCAAGGAGCTCACAGGGGACCAGCCTAGGTACTGACTGTCAAGGAGCTCACAGGGAAGCAGCCTAGGTACTGACCGTCAAGGGCAAGTAGACTTCTGGGCTTCAGGCAAAGTACCAGACACTAAATGGATGGCTCTACATTTTGTAATTTAATGTACTCTGCATTTCTTGTCAAATTGTGTGCATTAGAGGGAGGGATGCCTTTGCAAGACTTCTTTGGAGACTTTTGTTGATAACTGGATTATTTTCAGTAATATGATCAAAACACATGCCTTTTTGGAAAACAAAAAAATTTAAGAAAAAAAGTACAAGAAGCCAGGTGGTGGAGGCACATGCCTTTAATCCCAGCACTCAGGAGGCAGAGGCAGGCGGATCTCTGAGTTGGAGGTCAGCCTTGTCTACAGAGTGAGTTCCAGGACAGCATCCAAAGCCACAGAGAAACCCTGTCTTGAAACCCCCTCCCTCAAAAAACAATAAAATAAATTTTGTTTAGAAAACAAAAAATTCTCAGAATATTGTTTATCATTTTTATTGTCTGTATATGACTTTGTTTGAGGGCTGGGGAGATAGTTCAGTTAGTAAAATACTTCCTGTGTCTGAACTGAATGCCCAGCATTCAAACCAAAGTTTGGGCATGCTTATAATCTCAGCATTGGAAAGGCAATTACAGGTAGATCCCTGGAGTTCACCGGCAAGCCAGCATTCTCTAATCAGTGAATGGTCAGTTTGTGGAAGATTGTGCCTCAAAAGCAAACAGCTGAATGAGGAGGAGCTTCTGAGGAGTGATACCTGAGTTGGACTTCTGCTCATAACCACATATGTGTCCACATAGAAGTTTTATAAGTGGATTGAGTGTTTGTGTCTAAATAGAAGAAAAATAATAAAAGAAAAAAGGTAACGGTGCATTTATTTTGGCAGGGACCCTTTGTAGCAGGCTTCGCTTCATCAAATCTTGGAGATGTGTCCCCCAACATTCTTGGCCCGCATTGTGCCAACACGGGAGAGTCTTGTGACAATGAAAAAAGCACCTGTCCTGTCGGTGGGGTAAGTAGTAAGGGCACATTCACTTCATGTTTGAATATTCATCTATAACATACAGATGTGTTGTTTTCAAGTATACACTGGCTGTTGGTCTCTAGTCTCCACTCCTCTCTGAAGCATTTACCTAACTTCTCTAAGTTTTAAGTGGGTTGTCTAAGTTTTCCATGGTGATGTCAAATGCAGAGGGTAATAATGTGTACTTCCCTGAACCTGGGCTGCTTAAACTATTTTACCTTGTAGTATTTGCATTTTCAAGTTTGTACCCCAAACTGCCTGCTATGACATTTCTTATGGATTGTAAACATGTAGTTTTTTAAAAATAGATTTTCTTTTTTCCCTTTAAAATGAAAGATTAGTCTTTCTATAAAGCATCAAATAGCACAGATATAGACAGGAAATATTGAGAGTCCTTAAGTGTAGTGGTTTAGTGTGAATGTCCCCATAGGCTCATATGTTTGAATGTTTGGTTCCCAGTTGGTGGAACTGTGTGGGAAGGATTGGGGGGTGTGGCTTCGGAGGTGTGTCACTGAGAGTGAGCTTTGAGATTTCAAGACTCAGGCTATTTCTTGATTCTCCCTCTGCTCCTGCTTGTGGATTAAGATGTGAGCTCTAAGTTGTTGTGCCCTCATTCCACCACCATAACTCTTCCATAAGCTGTGAACCCAACCAAACTTGCCTTGGTCATGGTGTTTTACCTTAGCAATAGGGAAGTGACTAAGACACTAAGTACCGCTTGCTTCTTTCATCCTCAGCGATTGCTACTCACTCTTCTTCCTTTGTGTGTGCATGCACCCACAAACATGTTTTATGATTTATTTATGGATTCTAGGGCTTAAGTTTCCCAATATAATTTCCTTCAGAAATTGTTCTGTATCTATATCTATGTGGCAAATTTGAAGGTTAGTCATTAAGATTATACTATCATTTATTTATTTAACTCCTTTCCCACAATTCATTTCAGTCTGAGCTTTCACTCAGCAGCAGATGCTGACTTCCTAGTTCTTTTTTTTATTTTTAAAATTTAAATTAGAAACAAGCTTGTTTCATATGTCAATCCCAGCTCCCTCTCCCTCCCCTGCTCTCCAGCCACCCCAACCCTCCTAACTCCCTCACCCAATCCATACTTGACTCTCCAGGGAGAGTGAGACCCTTCATGTGGGATCTCCAAAAAGTCTGTCATACCATCCAGAGCAGGGCCTAGGCCCTTCCCCATGTGTCCCGGCTAAAAGAGCATCCCTTTATGTGGAATGGGCTCTCAAAGTTCATTCAGATGCCTGGGACAAATACTGATCTAGTACCCAAAGTCCCAAAGATTGTCAAGGCCTCCTCATTGACATCCACATTCGGGGCATCTGGATCAGTCCCATGCTGGCCTCTCAGTCATCAGTCTGGGGTTCATAAACTCCCCCTTATTTCAGGTCAGCTGTGTCTGTGGATTTCACTAGCCCAGTCATGACCCCTTTGCTCATCATTCCTCCTTCTCTGCACCTGGTTTCCAGGAGTTCAGTTCAGTGTTTAGCTGTGGGTGTCTGCCTCTGCTGCTATCAGCCACTGGATGAAGGCTCTACGATGGCATACAAAGTAGTCATCAATCTCATTATTGGGGAAGAACATTTAAAGAAGCCTCTCCACTATTGCTTAGATTGTCAGTTGGTGCCATCCTTGTAGATCTCTGGAAATCTCATTAGTGCCAGATCTCTCCTTAAACCTATAATGACTCCCTCTATTGTGGTATCTCTTATCCTGCTCTCCTCTATTCTTCCCCTGACTCAACCTTCCTGCTCCTCATGTTTTCCTCTCCCCTTCTGTTCTCTCCCTTACTTTCTCCCTGCTCCCTGTCCTCTCCTCCCATGCTCCTAGTCCATTCTGGAGATACTGTCCCGTTCTCCTTCTTTGGGCTACCATGCATATCTCTCTTAGGGTCCTCCCTGTTTCCCAGACTCTGTGGATTGTAGGCTGGCACTCCCCTGCTTCATGTCTAAAATCCATATATGAGTGAGTACATACCATGTTTGTCTTTTTGTGACTGGGTTACCTCACTCAGGATGGTTTCTTCTAGTGCCATCCATTTGCTTGCAAATTTCAAGATTTCATTGTTTTTTTTTCTGCTGAGTAGTACTCCATTGTATAAGTGTACCACATTTTCTCTAGCCACTCTCCAGTTCAGTCTAGATTGCTTCCAGGTTCTGGCTATTACAAATAATGCTGCTATGAACATAGTGGAACAGATGTCCTTGTTGTATGGATGTGGATCTTTTGGGTATATGCCTAAAAGTGGAATTGCTGGATCTTGTGGTTGACTAATTCCCATTTTTCTGAGGAATTTACATACTGACCTCCAAAGTGGCCGTGGGAGTTGGCAATCCCACCAGCAGTGGAGGAGTGTTCCCCTTTCTCCACATCCTCTCCAACATAGACTGTCATTGGTGTCTTTTATTTTAGCCATTCTGACAGTAGCAACATGGTGTCTCAGAGTTGTTTTGATTTGCAATTCCCTAATGGCTAAGGATGTTATGTGAATTACTTCCCTCATGTTGCCACTTTTGTTACACTGTGTTTCTTCCCTTTAACCCTACTCAATGAACAATGTGGGGTAATAGTTACACTGTATGTATGTTATTGTTTTTAGCTACAAATTTCTCTTTTTCTTTATTTGCACAACTGTCACACAATTAACTTGTCATACATTTTAAGATTACTTTTTGAACTCTGAAATTCATAAATTCATAGATGAGATGGTTAGATAAATTATACTCACCTGCAACAGAATATTATGCAACAGTTTATCAAATGCTGGAATACTGGATAATGTGACAAAAGCTTATACAATGTGGAGTAATAAATTTGGATTCAATATTGCATATTCATTGTAACAGCAATTTTTCAAAATGAATGTTATAGCAAAAGAAAAGGTGACATGAAGCCGGTAAAGGGGCCACACTGAGGATATGGAGAAAGCATTTGCTCTCTGCATTGTATCCTGGCACAAGGGCATATGTGTAGGATTGCACTTCCATACTCTTCTGTGATGTGTTTTTCTATTTCAGACAATCACGTTCTAAGCCATATCTAATGTAACTTCCTTATGCTCACTTTTAAGTGCCATTATTATGCTAATCCATTATTTACTTTTGTGTTTTTCTTTCCCCTCTCTTCCTTCCTGTAAGTTTGATCACTGACTTAATACACACCTGCATAGGTATAGGAGTCCTGACTCAGGACTTTTCTACCCACCCATGTGTAAGCGACTATTGTCTCAACCTTCTTTTAAGTCAAGTATTTCACTCCTGGATTTCTTGATGGTACAATATGAAAGAGCTAGCTCTAGGTTAAATTTCCGTTTCATTATTCATGAAGTTGAGCATGTTCTAATGTTGAGTGGCCATATGCACACACATGAGAGACAGACAGAGATAGAGAGAGAATATTAATTACTTCTTTGGTTTTTAATCCATGGCACATGCATTGTGATGCTTTATATTGCAAATAAGAGAAATGCCAACTCAGCATGCATAAATCAAGGGGTATTAATAAGAATGTTCTTTTCCTTTATTTTTTTAATTTAAATGCAGTACTTGGACAAGTTTACATTACAGTAATTTGTTAATCTGCATGTTAGGACAATAAGCACACCCACCTCCTCAAACATTTATTGATTTCACATGATGGGAATTTTACATCTTTCCTGTTATTTTAAATATAGCATACATTGTTGTCAACAGTTGTTTCCATAGTGTGCCACAGAAACCCAGAATAAATTCTGTCTGGCATTGTTTTGATGCCCTTACCTAACTTCTCTATGTCCCCTTTCTCCCCCCTTTTTTCGGTCTCTATTGATTACTATTCCACCCCATTCTTGCATGAGGTCAACTTTTTAGCTTTTACAAGTGAGTAAGAGAGTATGTGGTGTTTACTTTTGTGTGTCTGGGTTATTTCACTGAACAGAAGACTCCCAGTTCCATGCACATTGCTGCAAATGAAGGGATTCCATCCCTCTTCGTAGATGAGAAGTGTTCTATTGTGTATATGTGCTAGTTGTGTGTTGATGGGCACTGTGGTTTAAGTTAGCTGTTATGGATAGTGTTAGAGCAAGCAAAGATGTGTAAATAATGAGTATAATGAGTTCGTCTCCTTTATATAGGTAAAAGCAGAATGTTCTTCCCTATGGAAAATGTTAAAGTTCCTAATACATTAATTCTTAAAATATTTGTCATAAATAATACAAAAGTTCCTTACTCTATAAATTCTCTATCAGTTTTATTTATGTTGTCCCTCCTATATAGATGTTTAAAATATTTAAGGTGTCAACTTTACTAAGTCTGTTTTTTTAATCATTTTAAAGTCTTTTTTATTTTTCAGACGGTAACATTTATTAACCCATATTTTCTTTCCTTATGTTCTTTGTGACATTCATCATATTTAAGTATTTGGTCAATCTTGAGCTTTAGTGATCTGGGAAATGGGATATAGAGCTGGAATTGTGCATTTTTCTTCCCAGGAGAATGGCTCATTGTTCTAATGTAATCTCAATGAGTTTCTGTGTGAGAGATCAGAGCGAGAGTCCCAGGCAAGCATGCACAAGTAAAAAGGCAGCGACAGAGGATGAGGCCTGCCTTTCAGTTAGCTCCTTGTGTAACATACATCTAATCTCTTAACCAAGCCAAAACTCTGCTTCCTAATTTTAAAAGGAAGTGACTAAAATGGATGCAATCTGAAAACATTCGCTTCTCCAAATGCATGCATGATTATGTTTGCTCTAGCCTGTAAATTGAGAAAATGTCTCAAGAGAAAAGCTAGAATTGGCTTAGCAAATGTTGGATTCAGTTGCAATTTTCCAGTTCTTAAAGCCATCACTCATTTTTTGTCTCATTTTGCTCCAGCCTAGCATGTGCATGGCCAGCGGACCCGGACGAGATATGTTTGAGAGCACACAAATTATAGGACGGACCATCTACCAGAGAGCCAAGGTAGGCATGAGCCCAGTGGTTTCCGTCTTTGTTTCAGTTTGTTCTTTAAAACCCACAGACATCATTTATTAGGAAGTCCATAATTGCAAGGAAGGCCACAAGAGCTCAGGCTGGCCAGGAAGTCTGAAAGACTTGGGTTTGTGAGGTTGCCCTTGGGAGCCACACAGGACCCTGTCTGATCCTGTCAGACTTCCTAGTGCATTTAAAACCAAGCAAGCAGGAAAACATTCTATTTTAGGACGTTAGAAAGCCTGAGTGCTCACCTCTGGCTGAGGAGACAGATAGATTGTAAAGTTAATGTGGCCTCACAGAGGACCAGTCTGATGTAGATTCTCGGAAATCTTTCCAGTCATTACCTGGCTAAAGGCATCTGACTGCTCTGAACTTGACCTTCAGTGACAAAGATGTTCTGGCACCACGAATTCCCAATTAGTTGTATGCTTCTCAGAAAGGGCAAAGGTCACATCTCTTTTCTCCCTTATTCTGAAGGGAGAATCTGGTTAGCAAAGAATTACTATGAATGAGTCCATCTTCCTCCTGGTCCCAAAATGTTTGTTTCATGTGTGTGATGTATGTATGTATGTATGTATGTATGTATGTATGTATGTATGTATAGGTGTGTGCTTTTGGGTGTGAGGGTGCATGTACACATGTGCATGTATACACATATTTCTGAAGGACCAATGTTGAGGTTGGGTGTCTTGCTTAATTGCTCTCCACCTTGTTATTAGAAAGGGGTTTCTCACTGGACTTGAAACTTACTACTTGGCTAGCGTGACTTCCAACAACCCCAGGAATCCTCCTGTCTTTGTCTCCCCAGTACTGGTGTTCTAGAAGTGTGTCTCTCTACCCTACTGGGATTCTATAAGTATGCCTCTCTACCCTACTGGGTTTTCTGCAACCACGCCTCTCTACTCTACTGGGGTTCTAGAAGTATGCCTTTCCACTCTGCTGGGTTCTAGAAGTGTGTCTTTCTACTTTGCTGGGGTTCTAGAAGTGTGCCTTTCCACTCTGCTAGGGTTCTAGAAGTGTGTCTCTCTACCTTACTGGGGTTCTAGAAGTGTGTCTCTCTACTCTGCTGGGGTTCTAGAAGTGTGCCTTTCCAGTCTGCTAGGGTTCTAGAAGTGTGTCTCTCTACCTTACTGGGGTTCTAGAAGTGCGTCTCTCTACTCTGCTGGGGTTCTAGAAGTGTGCCTTTCCACTCTGCTAGGGTTCTAGAAGTGTGTCTCTCTACCTTACTAGGGTTCTAGAAGTGTGTCTCTCTACTCTGCTGGGGTTCTAGAAGTGTGCCTCTCTGCCCTGCTTTGCATAGGTACTGGGAACAGAACTGAGACGCTCATGTTTGTGTGGCAGACACATTATGGATAGAGCCATCTCCCCAGTGATGTGCTAAATTTTGTCTTCTCTGCTGTCCCCATTTTTTATCTGCTTCTACAGAGTCATTTCTGAGGGAAAATGACAAAGAGAAATGGCTTCTAACTGATATGTCCATGATAGTGTTAAGTCCCTTTGTTTTCATGGCTTACTCATGCTTGTAAACACACACACACACACACACACACACACACACACACACCTACACCTGCCTACTAGTGCTTAAATAGATAATTGCTTCTAGGTCCCAAAATGTTTCAGAAGCAATTAAGAAAAACAAAAGTGCATGTCAAAAACATCAGACATAAAATCTATAACCACAGGCAGACTAATTGCTGTAGTTTTTTTTAATTTACTGTGGTATTATCAGTAGATTATTCTAAATTAACAGATTCTTTTTAGTGCATGCCTGTGACACACTTTAGTGCCAGAAATTTTGTTCCTGTCCTTGATCTGAGAACAAAGAGAGTCTGGATTCTCTTCTCAGCAAGGTACAACTCCCCTGGTTATCCCCAGGACTCCAGTCGCTTATCTTTTTGTAAATCTCATTTAATTTTGTTTTACTTTTTAAATTTAAATTAGGAACAAGCTTGTTTTACATGCCAATTTCAGTTCCCTCCCCCTCCCCTCCTCCTCTGCCCCCCCCACCAATTCCATCCCCTTTCTGCTCCCTACGGAGGGTGAGGCCTTCCATGGGGGATTTTCAAAGTCTGTCATATCATTTGGAGTAGAGCCTAGGCCCTCCTCCGTGTGTCTAGGCTGAGATAGCATCCCTCTATGTGGAATGAGCTCCCAAAGTCCATTTGTACACTAGGGATAAATACTGATCCATTGCCAGAGGCTCTATAGATTGCCCGGGCCTCCCAACTCACACCCACATTCAGGGGGTCTGGGTTGATCCTATGCTGGTTTCCCGGCTATCAGTCTGGGGTCCACGAGCTCTCCCTTGTTCAGGCCAGCTCTTTCTGTGGGTCTCTCCAGCCTGGTCTTGACCCTTTGCTCATCACTCCTCCTTATTCACACCTAGACTCCAGGAGTTCAGCTCATTGCCCAGCTGTGGGTGTCTGCTTCTGCTTAAATCAGCTACTCAATGAAGGTTCTAGGGTGGCATATAAGGTAGTCATCAATCTCATTATTGGGGAAGGGCATTTAAGGTAGCCTCTTCGCTATTGCTTAGGTTGTTAGCTACGGTCATCCTTGTAGATCTCTGGACATTTTTTCCTAGTGCCAGATTTCTCTTTAAACCTATAATGGCTCCCTCTATTATGGTGTCTCTTTTCTTGCTCTCCTCTATTCTTCCCCTGACTCAATCTTCCTGCTCCCTCATGTCCTCCACTCCCACTCTTTACTCCCCTCCTCTTTCTCCTAACTTCCTCTCCCCTTCCCCCATGCTCCCAATCCACTCAGGAGACCTTGTGCCTTTCCGCCTCTCAAGTAGATCATGTATGTCTCTCTTAGGACCCTCCCTGTTCCCAACATCTCTGGCTGTGTGGATTGCAGGCTCGTAATTCTTTATTTTTAAAATCCATATATGAGTGAATATGTACCATGTTTGTCTTTTTGTGACTGGGTTACCTCACTCAGAATGGTTTCTTCTAGTGCCACCCATTTGCCTGTGAATTCCAAGATTCCATTTCTTTTCCCGCTGAGTGGTACTCCATTGTATAAATGTACCACATTTTCTCTATCCACTCTTCAGTTGAGGGGCATCTAGGTTGATTCCAGATTCTGGCTATTACAAATAATGTTTCTGTGAACATAGTGGAACAGATGTCCTTGTTGTATGGATGTGAATCTTTTGGGCATATGCCTAAGAGTGGAATTATGAATCTTGTGACAGAGTGATTCCTATTTTCCTAAGGAACCACTGATTTCCAAAGTGGCTGTACGAGTTGGCACTCCCACCAGCAGTGGAGGAGTGTTCCCCTTTCTCCACATCATCTCCAACATAAACTGTCATTAGTGTTTTTTATTTTAACCATTCTGACAGTAGCAACATGGTATCTCAGAGTTGTTTTGATTTGCAATATGCCCTGATGGCTAAGGATATTGAGCACTTTCTCAAGTGTCTTTCAGCCATTTTTAGATTCCTCTATTAAGAATTCTCTATTTAGTTCTGTACCCTACTTTTTAATTGGATTATTTGGTGTTTTGGTGACTAGCTTACTGAGTTCTTTGTAAATTTTGGAAATCAGCCCTCTGTCAGATGTGGGGTTAGTGAATATCTTTTCCCATTCTGTGAGCTGCTGTTTTGTCTTGTTGACTGTGTCCTTTGTCTTACAGAAGCTTCTCAGTTTCTGGAGGTTCCATGTATTAATTGTCGATCTCAGTGTCTGTGTTATTTGTGCTATGTTCAGTAAGCAGTCTTTTTGTACCCTGCACTCTCCCAACCATCTCACCCCAGAGCTGCATCAGTTCCAAATGAGCACACAGGCCGCTGTATTAATTCTGAGGCTGTTGACCGTTTGCTATGGTTTCTTAATGACTAGTTCTGACTTAATTATTAACTCCTAATTACTAATACATATCTTTACAAGGTCTTATCTTACTGAGGACGCAGCCTCATGTGTCCTCTCTTCTCGGGATCACATGTCAACTCTCCTCTCTTGACTACATTTCCCAGAATCCTCCTCAACTCTTAGTCCCACCTATCTTGCTTCCCTGTTGGCCAACAATGCTTTATTTATCAACCAATAAGACAACACATACACAGAAGGACTTTCCCCTCAGTCTCCTACACACCAATTCGTTCAAGAGTACCTCCCACTTTCTCTTCTAAGAGGTTCAATGTGGTTGGATTTATGTTGAGGTCTTTGATCCATTTGGACTTTAGTTTTATGCATGGCAATAGATATGGATCGATCTGCAGTCTTCTACATGCCAGCATCCAGTTGTGCCAGCACCATTTGGTGAAGATGCTTTCTTTTTTCCATTGTATAATTTTAGCTTCTTTGTAAAAGATCAGGTGTTTATAGGTGTGTGGGTTAATATCAGGGTTTTCATTTTGATTCCATCAGTCTACCTATTTTTGTGCCAGTACCAAGCTGTTTTCAAGATTATAGCTCTATAATAGAGCTTGAAGTCAGGAACAGTGATGCCTCCGGAAGTTAGTTCCTTTATTATACAGGGTTGTTTTGGCAATCCTGGGTCTTCTGTTTTTTCCATATGAAGTTGAGTCCTATTCTTTAAAGGTCTATAAAGAATTGTGTTGATATTTTATGGGGATTGCATTGAATCTGTAGATTGCTTTTGGCAAGATTTCCATTTTAACTATGTTGATCCTTTCTATCCAATACCATGGGGGATCTTTCCATTTTTTGTATCTTCTTTAATTTCTTTCTTTAAAGCCCAGTTGCTTATCTTAAAAGGCCACACAAGACTTTCATGGAAGTGGCCTAGGTGTCAGGGCCAGTATACATGTGCTAAAGTAGGAGCTCAGGGGGTCCTAAGAGGGACACTTTGTGCCAAGTCTACCTGCAGACAGCCTGACATCCCAGCAAATGTGAGGTTGGAGCTTCTATGTCATGGTCTGTTTCATAGTAAGTCCTTATTTGGGATGCATAGACACGGATTGACATTCCCAGAGGTTTCAGGTTCTGGGAAGCACTGGGATTGATGACAGAACTGTGGAGTGGGGGTGGGAGTGGGGGTGAGGATGTTTTCAATCAGTAAGTAAAACAAAGGTGTCTTGGTGCAGAAAGTGCTAGATGCCTGTGTTAGTGTCCATTTCTCTCCAGTCCTTTTCCTCAGGACAGTGAGCCTATGTTTGTTTTCTAGGAGCTGCATGACTCTGCCTCCCAGGAGCTGACTGGACCAGTGCTGGCCGCTCACCAGTGGGTGAACATGACAGATTTGAGCGTCCTGCTCAATGACACATATGCAGTGAGTATGACAGAGGACACTGACCTTGCTGCATGGGTAGAGCACGGCTCACTGTCACTGTTGAATTTCTGTTTATTTGTTTTTGTTTTGTGATCCTTTCTCCAGGTGAAGACTTGTAAACCTGCCCTGGGCTACAGTTTTGCAGCAGGCACAATTGATGGAGTTTCGGGCCTCAATATTACACAGGGTGAGATGGAGGAGGATGGAATGCGTGCTTCCAGGTTCGGGGGCTAATGAAGCTTAACTATGGTCAGTGTGTTTATGATTCCCACTTTAACTCAGGAGGCTTCAGGCTGGCCAAGTTTGGGTGTGACATCTCAGATTCCCCAGAGATGGGTGTCTTTTGTCCCTTAGCTTTATTAATTCAAATATAGGCAGAAACAAAATCTCTTGGCATTTCAGAATATTGGTGAACCTTGTTAATGAATTGTAGTGTGTATGTGTTTGTGTGTGTGTGTGTGTGTGCGTGTGTGTGCACATTAGTTTGTGTATCTGCACAGTATGCCTGCACAGTGCCTGTGTAGAGATTAGAGGTGCTGAACCTCGATGCCTTTCACTTATTGTTAGATGCAGGTTCTCTCTTGGCTTGGAAATCGCCATGGGGGCAGGCTGGTTAGCCTCCAGTTTCTAGGGACACACATGTGTTCACCTTCCAGTTCATCACTGCTGAGACTGCAGATGTGGGACCAGTGCACCTGACTTTTTATGTGGGTTCTGGGGATCTAAGTTCAGATCTTCACACTTTGGGAGCAAGCTCTTACTCACTGAGCTATCTCCCTAACCCCAGAGCATCCATTGCTTTAAACAATCATGATTTTTTTTATTTCAAGCTTCCTTCACATGCCAATCCCAGTTCCCTCTCCCTCCCCTCCTCCTGTACCCCCTCACCAGCTCCCTCAGGCCCACACCCAACCCCCACTCCATTCCCCAGGAAGGGTGAGACCCTTTGTAGGGAATCCACAGAGTTTGCCATTTCATTCAGGGAAGGGCCCAGGTCCTTCCCCAAGAGATCAGGCTGAGAGAGCATCCCTCACTGTGGGAGGGGCACCCAATGTCTATCTGTATGCCAGGGACAAACACCGATACATCGCCCAAGGCCCCACAGATTGTCCAGGCCTCCTCGCTGACACACACATTCAGGGGGGTCTGGATCAGTCCCATGCTGGTCTCCCAGCCATCAGGCAGAGGTCCAAGAGCTCCCACTTGTTCAGATCAGCTGTTTCTGTGGGTTTCACCAGCCTGGTCTTGACCCCTTTGCTCATCACTCCTCCCTCTCTGTCACTGGGTTCCAGGAGTTCAGTTCAATGTTTAGCTATGGGTATCTGCCTCTGCTTCCATCAGTCACTGGATGAAGGTTCTAGGATGGTGTATAAGGGAGTCATCAAACTCATTATCAGGGATGGGCATTTAAGGTAGTCTCTCCACTATTGCTTAGTTTGCCAGTTGGTGTCATCCTTGTAGATCTCTGGAAATCTCACTAGTGCCTGGTATCTCCCCAAACCTATAATGACTCCTTCTATTATGGTACTTCTCATCTTGTTCTCCTTCATTCTTCCCCTGACTTAATCTTCCTGCTCTCCCATGTCCTCATCTCCCCTCCTCCTATTCCCATCTCCTCTTTCCAGCTCCCCATCCCCTCCCCCATGTTCCCAGTCCACTCAGGAAATCTTGACTCATTCCCCTTATCTGGGGTACCATGGATATCACTCTTAGGGGCCTACCTGATTCCCAGACTCTCTGACAGTGTGATTGTAGGCTGGTACTTCCCTGAGCCATGTCTAAAACCCATATATGAGTTAGTACATACCATGTTTGTCTTTTTGTGACTGGGTTACCTCACTCAGGATGGTTTCTTCTAGTGACATCCATTTGCCCGCATATTTTAAGATTCCATTGTTTTTTTCCACTGAATAGTACTCCATTTTGTAAATGTACCACATTTTCTCTATCCATTCTTCAGTTGAGGGGCTTCTAGGCTGCTTCCAGGTTCTGGCTATTACAAATAATGCTACTATGAACATAGTGGAACAGCTGCCCTTGTTGTATGAATGTGCATTTTTTGGATATATGCCTAAGAGTAGAATCGCTGGGTCTTATAGTAGATTGATTCCCATTTTCCTCAGGAATCTCCATATTGATTTCCAAAGTGGGTGTAGAAGTTGGCATTCCCACTAGCAGTGGAGAAGTGTTCCCTTCTCTCTGCATCCTCTCCAGCATAAATTGCCATTGGAGTTTTTGATTTTAGCTATTCTGACAGGAGTGAGATGGTATCTCAGAGTTGTTTTTCCCTAATGGCTAAGGATGTTGAGCACTTTCTCAAGTGTCTGTCATTTTAGACTCCTCTATTGAGAATTCTCTATTTAGTTCTGTACCACACTTTTTAATTGGATCCTTTGGTGTTTTGGAGACTTGCTTCTTGAGTTCTTTGACAATTTTGAAGATCAGCCCTCTGTCAGATATGGGGATGTGAATATCTTTTCCCATTCTGTGGGCTGCTGTTTTGTCTTGTTGACATTGTCTTTTGCCTTACAGAAGCTTCTCAGTTTCAGGAGGTCCCATTTATTAATTGTCCATCTCAGTGTCTGTGCTACTGGTGTTATGTTTAGGAAGTGGTCTCCTGTATCAATTCGTTCAAGCGTACCTCCCACTTTCTCTTCTAAGAATTTCAGTGTGGCTAGATTTATGCTGAGGTCTCTAATCCATTTGGATTTAAGTTTTGTGCATGGCGATAGACATGGATATATCTGCTGTCTTCTGCATGCCAATATCCAGTTATACCAGCACCATTTGTTGAAGATACTTTCTTTTTTCCATTGTATAATTTTAGCTTCTTTGTCAAAAATCAAGTGTTCATAGGCATGTGGGTTAATATTAGGGTTTTCAATTTGATTCCATTGGTCTACCTGTCTATTTTTGTGCCAATACCAAGCTGTTTTCAGGACTCTAGCTCTAAAATAGAGCTTGAAGTCAGGGAAGTTGATTCCTCTGGAAGTTCCTTTATTGTACAGGGTTGTTTTGGCTATTCTGGTTCTTTTGTTTTTCCATATAATGTTGATTATTGTTCTTTTAAGGTCTGTGAAGAGTTGTGCGGGTATTTTGATGGGGATTGTGTTGAATCTGTTGATTGCTTTTGACAAGATTGCCATTTTTACTATATTGATTCTAGCTATCCAGGAGCATGGGAGATCTTTTCATTTTCTGGTATCTTCTTTATTTTCTTTCTTTAAGGACTCAAAGTTCTTACTATATAGGTCTTTCACTTGTTTGGTTAACGTTTTCCCCAGGTATTTAATGTTGTTTGGGGCTATTGTAAAAGGTGATATTTCTCTGATTTCTTTCTCAGCCCATTTATCATCTGTATATAGTAAGGCTACTGATTGTTTTTTTGAGTTAACCTTGTAGGTGTTTATCAGCTGTAGGAGTTCCTGTGTAGAGTTTTTCGGGTCACTTATGTAAAATATCATATCACCTGCAAATAGTGAGTGTTTGACTTCTTCCTTTCCAATTTTTATCCCCTTGATCTCCTTTTGTTGTCTTATTGCTCTAGCTAGAACTTCAAGTACAATGTTGAAGAGATAATGGAGAGAGTGGACAGCCTTGTCTTGTTCCTGATTTTAGAGGAACTGCATTGAGTTTCTCTCCATTTAGTGTGATGTTAGCTGTTGGTTTACTGTATATTGCTTTTATTGTGTTCAGGTATGTTCCTGTTATCCCTGATCTCTCCAGGACCTTTATCATGAAGGGGTGTTTGATTTTGCCAAAGGCCTTTTCAGCATCGAGTGAGATGATCATGTGGTTTTTCTTTTGCAGTTTGTTTATATGGTGAATTACATTGATAGATTTTCATATGTTGAACTATCCCTGCATCCCTGGGATGAAGCCTACTTGATCATGGTGGATGATTTTTCTGATGTGTTCTTAGATTTGATTTGCTAGAATTTTATTGAGTATTTTTGCATCAATGTTCATGAGGGAAATTGGTTTGTAGTTCTCTTTCTTAGTTGTGCCTTTGTGTGGCTTGGGTACCAAGGTAATTGTAACCTCATAAAAAGAGTTTGGCAACAAACTTCCTGATTCTATTGTGTGGAACACTTTGAGGCATATTGCAATTAGCCTTTGTTTGAATTTCTGGTAGAATTCTGTACCTGGGCCTGGGCTTTTTTTGGTTGGGAGACTTTTAATGACTGCTTCTATTTCATTAGGCATTATAGGTCTGTTTAGCTTGCTTATCTGCTCTTGATTTAATTTTGACAAGTGATTCTATCCATAAAATTGTCCATTTCCTTTAAATTTTTGAATTTTGTGGAGTACAGGTTTTCAAAGTATGACCTGATGATTTTCTGGATTTCCTCAGTATCCGTTGTTATGTCCCCCTTTTTACTTCTGATTTTGTTAATTAGCATGCTTTCTCTCTCTGCCTTTTGGTTATTTTGGATAAAGGTTTGTCTATCTTGTTGATTCTCTCAAAGAACCAATCTTTGTTTCATTGATTCTTTGCAATATTTTCCCGGTTTCTAAGTGTTCATTTCAGCCCTCAATTTGATTATTTCATGGCATCTATTCCTCCTGGGTGAGCTTGCTTCTTTTTGTTCTAGAGCTTTCAGTTGTGCTGTTAATTCTCTAGTGTGACTAGTCTCCAGTTTCTTCATGTGGGCGCTTAGTGCTATGAACTTTCCTCTCAGCACTGCTTTCAAAGTGTCCCATAAGCTTGGGTATGCCATGTCTTCATTCTCACCGAATTCCAGGAAGTCTTTAATTTCTTTTTTTATTTCTTCCTTTACCCAGGGATGGTGTAATTGTGCGTTGTTCAATTTCCATGAGTTTTTAGGGTTTCTGCGATTTTGATAAGATACAGGTGGTTATTCCAACTTTTTTTTATATCTGTGGAGGTTTGCTATGTTTCCAATTATGTGGTCGATTTTAGAGAAGGTTCCATGTGGAGTTGAGAAGACAGTATATTCTTTTGTGTTTGGATGGAATATTCTATAGATGTCTGTTAATTCCAATTGGGTTATAACTTCTGCTAGTTCTTTTGTCTCTTTGTTAAATTTCTGTCTGCAGTTCCTGTCTAGTGGTGAGAACGGAGTGTTGAAATCTCCTACTACTAGTGTGTGATATTTTGTGTGTGATTTGAGATTAGTAATGTTTCTTTTATGAATGTGGGTTCCTTTGTATTTAGGGCATAGCTGTTCAGAATTGAGACTTCATCTTGGTGGACTTTTCCTGTGATGAATATGAAATGTCCTTTTTCTTCTCTTTTGATTGATTTTAGTTTGAAGTCTAATTTGTTAGATATTAGGATTGCTACACCAGCTTGTTTCTTGGGTCCATTTGATTGGAAAATCTTTTCCCAGCCCTTTACTCTGAGGTAACATCTGTCTTTGATGTTGAAATGGGTTTCTTGTATGCAGCAGAAGGATGGGGTCTGTCTTGGTATCCATTCTGTTAGCCTGTGTATTTTTATAGGCAAGTTGTGACTGTTGACATTGAGGGATATTAGTGACCATTGATTGTTGATTCTTGTTTGTTTTGGATTTATTTGTGGTGGTGTCATTGTATGTGGATTCTTCCCCCTTTTTCTTTTGGTGTTTGGTAAAGTGTGTTTGTATATTGCCTATGTTTTTGTGAGTGTAGTTATCTTCGTTGGGTTGAAGTTTTCCTTCCAGTACTTTCTGTAGGGCTGGATATGTGGATATGTATTGTTTAAATCTGGTTTTATTATGGAATATCTTGTTTTGTCCATCTATGGTAATTGAAAGCTTTGCTGGGTTCAGTAGTCTGGGCTGGCATCCCTGTTCCCTTAGCGTTTGTAGGACATCTTTCTAGGACCTTCTGGCTGTCATAGTTTCCATTGAGAAGTCGGGTGTAATTCGGATAGGTCTGCCTTAATAGGATAGTTGGCGTTTTTCCTTAGCTGCTCTTAATATTTTCTCTTAATTCTGTTTGATTATTATGTTGTGAGGGGACTTCTTTTTCTGGTCCAGTCTATTTGGTGTTCTGTAAGATTCTTGTACTTTCATAGGCATATCCTTTAGGTTAGGGAAATTTTCCTCTATAATTTTGTCGAATATGTTTTCTGTACTTTTGAGCTGTATTTCTTCACCTTTTCCTATACCTATTATTCCCAGGCTTGGCCTCTTCACGGTGTCCCACATTTCCTGTATATTTTGTGTTAGGGATTTGTTGAACTTCAGATTTTCTTTAGTGGATGACTGTATATCCTCTACTGAGTCTCCAACACCTGAGATTCTCTCTTCCATCTCTTGTATTCTCTTGATTATACTTATATCTCTAGTCCCTGATTGTTTAACCAGCTTTTCTATTTCCAGCATGCCCTCATTCTGTGTTTTCTTTATTGTTTCTATTTCAGTCTTCAAGGCTTGAACTGTTTGAGTTGTTTCCTACACTTTTTTGTTTGTTTTTTCTTGACTCTCTTTAGACTCTTTAAGAGATTTGTTTATTTCTTAAATTTTTTGGTTTGCCTTTTTCTTCTATTTCTTTAAGGAATTTTCTCGTTTCCTCTTTGAGGGTCTCTATCATCTTCATAAGGCAATTTTTAAAGTCTGTCTCTTCTGCTTCATCTGTGTTGTGCTTTTCAGGTCTTGCTGGTGTGGGGTATCTAGATTCTGGAGGAGTCATATTATTCTTTCTATTGCTGAGTGTGTTCTTTTCTTTTTTTTTTCGAGACAGTGTTTCTCTGTATTGTTTTGGAGGCGGCCCTAGAACTTGCTCTGTAGACCAGCTCTGGCCTTGAACTCACATATCTCCCTGAGGCTGAGGTCAGGCTCACGGGTCTGAAGCTGAGGCTGGGCGCATGAGTCTGGGGAGAGCCTGGGTTCCAGCAGGACTCTTGTCCTCCCTGACTGGGCAGGTCCACTGCATGCTGGGGGCAGGCCCAGGGAGATCGAGGGAGGGGGTCATGGGTGGCTTTGGGTCCCCACGAGGACCCAAGCTCACCCAAGACTCGGCACATGGGTCTGGGGCACAGTCGTGATTTCTTTGAGATGAAAGTGTGCAGAGTATAATGAAGAAAGTGAAAACAAGAACAACCTTGAGAATGAGGAAAATGTTTTCAAATAGTATATCTGATATGGGAGTTGTGTATCAAATACATTTTAGAAAACCTCTCATAACTCAATAGCAGTTATCTATTGAGAAATAATTGACAAGCCATATAATTTAGCCACTTAAAGTACATTTGATGGTTTTTAATTTGTTGGCAGACATACAGCCTTCCCAAAGTCAACTTTGGAACTTCCATCACTCCAACAGAAAATCTGAATAAGCTAGCTGTCACATCTCCCCTGCCACTGTATAAGAAACCAGTGTGCCTCCCATCTCTACCGCTTGCTACCTTGCTATTTCCTATGAATGGGAACATGCAGTATCTGCATTTTTGTTGCATCTTTAATGTAGCATTGTGCTTTTAAGGAACATGGAGGTAGAGACGTGAAAGCAGTGCATTCCTTTTTATGACTGAATTAATTCTTGGTATCAGTATACCAGGTGATATTTGCCAACTGCTTAGTTGATGGACCTTGAGGTTGTGTCACTCTTTTGTACGTTATGAATAACGATGCCTTTAGTACATATGTACTAACGTTTGTATGGGTCTGTGTTTGCAGCTTTCTTCTAGAAGAGAGCTTGCTGGTCAAATGCTACCTGTGTCTTAGCATCTGAAACTCTATCGTACAAGTTCCAAAATGGTTGTGTTGGTTTACATCAGTGTCAGCAATGTATCCATTCAGGTTCTCCATATCTTGGTCAATACTTATTATCTGGCATGCTGATTCTAGCCAGCATGTGTGTGGAATGCTGTCTCCTGTGGTTCTGATTTGCATCTGCTTGGGTAAACTATTTGAAAAAATTTCCCTCATTGGATAGGTTGTCTTTGCAATATTTTTTAAATTTTAAAAGCAATCTTATTTTACATATCAATCCCCCATCCCCTCTCCCTCTCATTCTCCCATGCCCCCACCGACCCTCCCAACCCACTCCTACCCCCTCTCCAAGAATAGTGAGGCCCTCCATGGGGGATTATCAAAGTCTGCCACATCATTTGTGGGTGGGCCTAGGCCCTTTTTCATGTATCTGAACTGCAATAGTATCCCTACATAGGGAATGGGCTCCCAAAGTCCGTCTGTGCAGCAGGGACAAACACTGGCTCCATTGTTAGAGGTCCCATAGACTGTCCAGGCCTCCTAGCTGGCACCCACATTCAGAGGGCCTGTTTCAGTCCAATGCTGGTTCCCCAGCTTAACGACTAGGGTTTCTCTGTGCTCTCACTAGGTCAGGTCAATTGTTTCTGTGGGTTTCTCCAGCACGGTTTCAGCTCCTCTGCTCTTTGCAATTTCTTGGCTATATTCTTTGAGACACAAATGTCCAGATCAGTTTCCTTTTTGTGACTAGTGGCTTGCCATCATATCCATGAACCATTCGCTATCTTGAAGGCTTACCCTATAATTCTAAAAGTTTCACTATTTTAGTTCACATACCATATAACTGGCATTACATGTTGAAGTTATCATTGTTAATTCTTAAAATGAGAAAACGGTGATGCACTTCACAAATCTGTGGATTATATAAAACCGTCTTTATTTATGACATAAATGAGTAAAGTTAGTATAAACAAAACATTGAGACTATCACACAAAATGTATTCCATTTTTCTTTTACAAAATGACAAAATAATTAAGGGCTATCATTTTGTGACATGCAGAAAACACCTCCTTTTTTATTGCCCAAAATTTTGAAGCCATTGAATGATAACCTTAACAAAATACCTAACATGTCTAAAATAACTGTGTGTAATGCTATCTAAATCATGACTTCCTTAGAGGGCTAGTATCAAGGATCTTATTAATTATAACAATTCTAATAGGAACAACAGAAGGGGTTCTATTTTGGGACACGATTCGGGACCAGCTCTTGGGCAGACCATCTGAAGAAATCATAGAGTGCCATAAACCTAAGCCAATCCTAGTTCACACTGGAGAGGTAAGGCATTTGCTTGCCATAATGGAGTCAGAACATTATTCTCTGTAGTTTCTGTGCTGTAATAAATGGTCAGTATAATAATGGTCAAATAATAAATGGTCAATGGAAGCTCTTACTTAGATATTCTTACATAATTTATTATTTATCTTTATCATCACATGTTTATTATTATTGCATGTGTGTATGATTTGTGTGTGGGAATGCTTGCAGAGGGCAGAGGACACTTTTGTGCAGTTGGTTCTCTTTTTGTACATTTACATGGGTCCTGAGGATCAAACTCAGACTTGTGTGTCTAGCACTCTACCTGGAGTCTTCTCAGTCAGTCACACCCTGCACAAATGTTTAATAATAAAATTTTATTTATATATGTATTTATTTTTCTTTGTATGTATAGGTATGCACGCATGTGTGTGTACGTATGTGAGGATGGTAGAAACCTCAGATGTTATTCATCTGAACTACACACCTTATATTTTGAGACATGGTCTCTCACTGGGACCTGGGACCTGGGGCTCACTAGGACATGGGGCTAGCCTGGCTGGCTAGCATGCCTCACGGATCCCCCATCTCTTCCTCCCAGTGCTAAGATGATAAGTATATGCCGTATCCCATGCCTGTCTTTATTTGAGTGCTGCAGATCCAACTCAATTCCTTCTGCTTATTTGGTAACATCATTAATTAAAGTAAATTTTTGGTTGTTCTTTTCAAGACAGGGATACTCTGTGCAGCCCTGGATGTCCTGGAATTCACTTTGTAGACCAGGCTGGCCTCAAACTCAGAGATACACCTACCTCTGCCTTCCAAGTGCTATGATTAAAAGCATATACCATCACTACCCAACTTACGAAATTTTCTTTTAACTCTATTTTAGAACATATTCTTTTTTTTACATTTGCAGTGTTAAAAAGTCATCCCACTATTCATAGAAACAAGATTGTTGAGGTTTAAGTATTTAAAAAGTAGACTTTCCAGTTTCCTATTAAATTCTTAGGGTTGGAGGAAGAGAGAAGGAAGGGGTGGAGAGATACTTTCCACTGATCCAATGTGGAAAAGGACAGATTCTCTTGAAGGGATCTTGGGAGATAATGCCAGACTTGGGAGTTCTAAACTTAAAGTACTGCTAGGGCAAAACAGAAATGATTGCATTAAACTATAACAAACGGTAGTCTATATTCATTGAGGAGATAGTCACTTATCTTGCACATAATGATGAGTTCACCGAAGCTCCTGTAAATGTTGTATCGCCCTGAACTTAACAAAGGAACTTGCATTTGAGAGTCACATGCTACAGCCAGGACATAAACATGCACACGATGTATTTAATGTTACATCATAGTTATAAATTAATTCATTGATGTGCTGAAAAACAAAACTAGTTTCAAACATTTGGAATTGTTTAATTAAGGAACTTATATGACTGTTGATGATAGAAATGGTAATTTATACCTAATGTAATTTTCTTGTCTTGGGTCTCAGCTGACAAAACCTCATCCTTGGCACCCAGATATTGTTGATGTTCAGATTGTTACTCTTGGGTCCCTGGCCATTGCTGCTATTCCTGGGGAGTTTACGTAAGTTCTTTTCAAAAAGTTTATAAAAGTTTCATGGTAAAAAGATGTGTTCCTGATGGGATTAATTCTTTTAAAAATCATGTATTTATCTGTTGTTGTATGTTTGTGGCCATGACATACCTGTGGAGGATAGGCTACATGAGTCAATTCTCTGCCTTCACCATATGGGTTCTGGAGACGGAACTTGGGTCACCAAACTTGGCGGCAAGCAGCTTTATCTACTGAGGCATCTCGCTGGCCCTGGGACTAATTCTTAGGGGAAGATAGTTCTCTGCCAGTCTCTTAGTAGCCTTCTGTACTATGTTTGGCAACAGCGGTAAATAATTCTTCCTCATTTGGTGGGGCCTCTGAAGAATAAATCTGTCCATGCTTATTGCCTGTGGAAAAGATGTGGAAAACATGAAAAATTCACATACTTGTCATTCTAAAGGTGAAAGGGTGCAATGAATTGTGTTAGTACATAGACTTGAAATAATAGTAAAAGACTTGAAGGCATTAGTTTAGATACTGAAAAGACTGGAGAATGTTCTAAACTCGTATCTTCTGCAATCTTTCCCATCTTCATAAGGAGAAGTTTGTTGAAATAGCCTTTGAATTTTCTTTTTTTCTCTTCCAAGAATTCATCAAATTCTTACATTCTACCCAACACATTCTATCATTCCCCACCATTGTTATCATTCCCTCAGATTATTTCAGTAACCTCCAATTTGGGTTCCTTCATTACCCCTCTGTGGTCCTTTCTCAAAACATTCTCAACTACATTCCTTTAAAACAGTGGCTCTCAACCTTCCTGGTGCTGTGACCCTTTAATATAGTTCTTCATGTTGTGGTAGCCCTTAACCACAAAATTACTTTCTTTCTTTCATATTTTTTCTAATGTTATAGGAATCATAATGTAAATGTTTTGGAGCTAGAGGTTTTCCAAGGGGCTCGTGGTTCAGAGGTTGAGAACCACTGCTTTAAAGCGTGAATTCAATGCGCCATTTCCGTCAGAAACCTCGCCACCCTTGTACCTCTCATTCCAGGTATTCCTTCAGTCCTCCCGATTTCCTTCAAGTTCCCATGCAGTCTGTGTCTCAGCAAGCTCCCTGGTGTATCTTTTGCTTTTCCCTCTTGCTTACCCTGCTTAAGCCACCCTGCATCATTGTCAAGTTTTCTGTTTAGACAGAAGCACAAAATGTACTTTTTAGATCCACTAAGCATGTTCTTGACTCAGGGACTTTGAATTTGTGGTTCTCCCTGTATGAAACACTTTCTCTCCAGTTAGTCATGACCAAGCCTTTTAATGGTTTTCAACCCTCTGTTCAAATCTCTAATGGAGATGCCAATTCTATTGACACTGCATAAAATCATCTTTCCCAACAACCACCTACTGTCACTCTTACATCAGCACCAGCATCAGCACCATTTCCACGACCACCACTCTCGCCACTCCTTTCACCCTTACTCTGCGTTATTAATCTGTGTATCTTCATCTCACTTTCTCATTCATTTGGTGGTCGTTGTCCATCCTTGACCTATAAGTTCCATTCCATTAAATCATTAGCACATAAAAGTGGTCTGGGTAAGCAGATATTCAAGATTATATTGAAGGATTAAATATAAAAAAGAAAGGGCAAGTTCTCTCTGCCCCAGATCTCTTACATGCAGGATGCAACTAACCCATTATGTTGAACCCAGGGATAGAAAATGATGCTGTCATTTTTTGTGTGTGTGTGTGTGGTACCAGGGGTGGAGTTCTGGATCTTGTACCTGCCAGGAAAAATACTCCATAGCTGAGCTACACCCCAACCCTTGATGGCCTTCTTCTCTCAGTGTTGTTCATTGATTTCATTTCCCTCTTTGGTCCAGTCGTATTCAGCATTTGCTTTGAAGAGAGGCCAGCCAAGGGGAAAAGCTAAACTTTTTTTTAAAACTCCATCGACTTCCTACATATTTTACTGCTGTGGGTGAGCTAGGCTAAGTTTTTTGGCATCTATTAAAAGCCTTTTTGAATAGTTCCCACACATTCCAAATGGGAGGATGTTTACATAATTCTATTTTCTTGCCTCAGAACCATGTCGGGACGAAGATTTCGAGAGGCAGTTAAAAAAGTAAGTTTGAATATGAAATACAATGCCTGGACATTTGTATTTGAAGAGGAGGAAATACTCTATTGAATTATTCTTTCCTAAAATGACTAAAGTTTCCATTTCTTGAAAGCAGTGGATAAAGGTAAATATAAGATGTCAGTAAGGGCATTATAACCAGATTAAAATATTGATAATGCTTATATGAAATAAATAGTAAATTTTCTCTAGAGACTGCCTAGCACCACATGAAAGGTCTAAATGAAACCATAATGTTAGGGGAATTTTGTTTCCCCCCTATATTCTCTTCAGATTCAGGATGCATTGAGAATAGTTGCAAAATGATATAACTGTTTTGTTATTTGGGTTTCATAACATCTGCTGGAATTTTATAAATTCAGTATAGTTTTTGCGGCAATTTCTTTTTAGTAATAAGAGTCTATATCTGCTGATGTGATTATTAAGGTTTTCATAGAGCCATTGATTTGCCCAACTGTAATGGGGACTGGGTCTAATTTCCAAAGTACTCTTTGACATCTCTGCCTTCCTTGGTGGCTTTGGTCATTGGGAAGATTTTTCTTAAGAAGTACATCTTCTGTTTGTTAACATAGCAATGTGTACCTTATGTGGAGCTCAGACAGCAACAGCCTTCAGAGATATAAGTCTTCCACTTTCCCTCCTAGGAATTTGAATCTTATGGGATGAAGGATATGACTGTTGTTGTTTCCGGTTTATGCAATGTTTACACACATTACATCACCACATATGAAGAATATCAGGTAAAGTAAAAAGTTCTCATGGCTTTTTCATTACACATTCTTTCTGGACTTCTTCAGCCATGTCTCTGAGAGATGACTTGGTTTTAGCTGAGAATTCAAAGAGAATAAGCCCAAAATTATATTTGGTTTGGTGTTTATTATATCCAAGTATATGTTAGCATAATAGTCTCATTGACTTCCACCTTCTCCTGAAACTTGTTTTGTCAGGGACATTGGTAATAAACCTGGGTTGTGACATGCAAATAACTACCCATAATGCATATTATATGTTTAGTTTCTGTAGGATTTGTATCTGCTATTTACTGAATACGCCAGCTAAGTACTTTGCAAGTGTAGCTGTACACGATCCTCATAGTACATCCTGAAGTATCACATAACTCTATTTATGATATGATTCAAAGCAAAACAAACAAATAAACAATACCCAAAACTCAGAGTTAGGGAGCTGGTAATTACTTCCTTTTTAAATATAGTTGTGAAAGCAATCCAGATACTTAAAAAAACACAGTAATTAGTTAAATATAACGACATCCCAGAGTCCCACAGTTAATGATTATGAGTAGATCTTTTGGCGTATCATGGCAGTCCATACAGGAACAGAGAGCAACCCATGGCAAATATTTAGTGATACAAGAATTGGACTCTGCTCTGCTGCCCTCTGTTGGCTTTGTTGAGGATTCTAACTTCTAGAAATCTGATTTGTATTAGTCAACTTCCCATCAGTCTAGCTGCCTGAGACAAAGCTAAAGGGCTGTGTCGCCCAGTTGAGTCACCGGGGCCATTTTCCTGAGGGCTTTAGGTAATGAGGAGCAGGGACAGTTCTCCCACTCTTATGAACTTTGGGGCAAGTCTTCCGACTGCCATAGGTGGCAGGGGTGAACTGGGGGGCATTTTTTTATTACCCTCACCACCACATGTCAGATAAGAGAGCTGACCTTCCCCCTTTACCAGCTGCCATGTTCAGGAAAGTAGTCCCTGCACCTCCCCTGGACAGCACAGTAATGCTGAATCTGCTGACTGGGGTGCAGGTGATCTGGCCTCTGGTGGTATAGGTGTGGGTGAGCCAGTTCTGAGGGCATGAAAGCAGGAGAACTAGCTCTGCCCCTTGCTCCTTGCTACATAGAGTGAACTAGCTGGGGAAACACTTGAGAGCTCTCCCTGGTGGTGAGGATGGGGAAGAGCTGGTGGGCTGACCAACCCTGCAACTTCAAGGGCCCCGCTGACTTTGTCACACAGTTCTTGCAGACTGGGAAATATCTTTTACTCTTTTTCTTAGGTGAAAATTACAGGAGTTAATAGGTCTACCTTCATCCTAATATCTGATAGTATAAAAAAGAAGTACATATTATTAGTTGCTGTAAGTTGATAAAGCCATTCCTGTCTAATTTGTTTTGCTCAATGTCAACTATTTTATTTTATGCACTTAGAACCATTATTCTGACAGGTGTTCCATAGGTCTCAATAGACTTCCAAAGAAGTCCACGGCACAAGCAAAGTTGGGAACCCCTGCTAGCCTGTTTCCTTATCTAGGGCTGTGTTTCTGCAAAATTTACTCTTGACTCATTCATTGATGTGTATGATAGACATTTTGATAGTCATTTTCTGGAGATGCAATGATGAAAAGATTCTTCTTCTTCCATCAGAGATAGAGGAGAAAGCAGATGAAGATGAAGACTGGGGCCTAAAGAGATGGCTCAGTAGTTAGCACTTAGGGGTGAAATACCCAGGTTCCGTTCCTAGTACCAACACAGATGCTCACAAGCTATAACTCCAGTTCTAGGGTATCTAATGCCCTCTTCTATTGATTTTCTCAGATTCTTAAATGCATATGGTACACACACATGCACATACAAACACACACACACAGATGCACACACACACACACAATAATCAATGAACAAAATAAAAACTTAAAACAAAAGATGAAGACCAGCAGACATTTGTCTGAGTTTTTGACAACACATTAGGGTCAGTCAAGCAAATAAAAAATTAGGAATGTCTTCTATACAGAGCAGGCATGTGCACAAAAACGAGGGGATAGATACAGCACATTCATTGGCTGTAATTAACTTTGTCCATGGAGTGTGGTGGTGGTGGTGGTGAGATGAAGGCTAGAGTAGGAGGCAGACTAGTGGAAGGAAGAGTCCTTTGTTCAGTAGAGTGGATTGTTGACTTTGTGAAGAAGGTTTTGGAGAGAGTTCTTTGATTCATCCTGTGATATGTTTAGAAACATCATTGGGAAGACAGGGTGGGCATATGTGAAGACAGAATTATCACACACTAGAGTTAAGGTCTGAGTGAGAACTGAAGGTTTGCACAGAGGTAGGGCCCAGTGGAGAGGAAAACAGAACACCTTGAGAAAAATTTAAGGTACAATGACACAGAATGTAGGATGAGGGAGGACGAGGGGGTCTAAGATGACTGTCAACTGATAGCTATCGAGATACTGGAAGGATAGCACACAGAATACTGCAGAGAAAGCTGCTGTTTCTGGGGTGACGGGAACCCTGTACACTGATGGCCTTGAGGTTCCTGTAGAGTTACCTAAGGCAGGGAGCTCACAATGCGATGCTGAGATGCATTTGGCTCTGTTTTATAGCTCTGTGATGATGTAGAAGGTCTTCCACAGAGGGAGCCATTAGTAGCCAACTTATCTAGGAGTTATTAAATAGGATCTTTTCTACCCTCATTTTCTTTCCTGATGTTTAGCCTGGGGGAGATAACTAATATTGTGAGAACTTACAATAGACATGAGCACGAGAGGAGGGAGCCTGTAACTTCTTGCAGAGAAAAAGAAATGGCAGCCTAAATGACATAAGCAAAAGGAAACCACTGCCTTTACAAGGATCAGACTCAGCCATGTACTCTGGCGGATTAGCAGAAAATGCTCACATTTTGTTTTCATAAGAACCACTGAGGATTTGCTGGTATTGAAATATGTGAGTAGTTCAGACATCACTTTGATGAAAATGTTGTACTTCTATAAGTAGATTGATGCATTCAAAACTGTCTGTATCTCGTCTCGATTTTCCTGCAGGCTCAGCGGTATGAGGCAGCATCTACAATTTATGGACCACACACTCTGTCTGCATACATCCAGCTCTTCAGAGACCTTGCTAAGGCAATCGCTACGGTAATCAACTTTGTGTGTGTATGTGTCTGTGTCTATATTGTCTTCATTATAAGGAGGCACAGAATCAAGAAAGAAACCTTACACACACATGTTATTTAACTAATTTTATATTATATGCAGTTTTCTTTAGGAAAGAAAACACTTGATATCACTAAGAAAATTATTCAAAGTTTACTGACAGCAAAACTCAAGTTCAATCATTAGCATTTAATGGTGGTTTTCTTTCATATACATGTACATACAGAATACATATATATGTATATATATGAAACTATTATTTAAAATTAGGATATATTATTTTTCTTCATGTTTTTAGATGGTTAACATTTCTTGAAGGTGGTAGGTAGCCATCTGCACTGTAACTATAGCTGGCATTAACTTTTCAGATTCTCAGAGTTGAGTAGACCATGCAGTTACAGAATATTTAAGATGCGTATTTTCTTCATTATAACATCTCTGAAATTGAGATGTGTCTTCCCTTCAGAGGAATGTTACCCTTGCAACTAGTAGCATTTCTACTTGATGGTAGTAACAATTTCTTGATAGATCAAAATAGTATCAATTGTTGTGATGAATGGAGGCTTAAGTCTGTTGATCTCTAATATTGCCTTGACATGCACATGTGTGTGTTTCTGAAATGTTTACAACTGATTTAAAGTTCCTTAGCCTGGGAAAGATCCTTTGGGATACATTACTTTATATAACTGCAGTTGTGGTACAGAGAATCAGTTGACAAGTGGAACAAAGAGCTTAAAATGATAAACAGATTGAATATAGTACATGTAAGCTTTATAACTGTAAGTATATTATTTGCCTCATAATAGCCTTATAATAGTAAAAGCTGTGAAATTATGGCATAGCAAGTACAATAAACCCTTTAAAGAAAGGGCGTGGATGTGCTAGATTGAAACAGATGAGACCTACATGCTGTAGACCAGCTACAGCGATTTCATATACCTCTGCCTTAAACTGCCTATTGTATTTGAAATTTCAATATAATCTGGGACTTGAACATTCTTTGCTTGCTCAACATTTTAAAAATCATAGTGCTCCTCTGATTTTGGACCTAGTCCTTAGTGGACACTTGATTTTTGGTTTACATTGTAGTTACTTGTTTTAAGACTGAATATGTGATCTTGAAAATCAAGTGAGTATATTCAATCCATCTTCTTGCTTTCAGGGTAACAGTGATAATACTACCCCCACTCTGAAAATACCATTTGCTGCTATAAAAGCTAACAATCCAATGTGAAGGCTAAAGAACATTAAATATACTTCAAGGGATATTGAAAATGAGATTATTATTTTTGATGTCCCCATTAAAGTATTTGAATCTTGTGGAAAGCATTGTATAAGTCACAATACAGGTTAATCTTAAATTTTAAATAAAGATATATGTATTATATTAGTTAGCACAGATTTGATACTATGAGAGGACCTTGGTGGTGATTTTGGGTAAAAGATTACCCACAGTTTTAACCAAGCATATTGGTACTTGCCTGTAACCTTGGCACTTGGGCTACCAGGGTAGTAGAATCACGAGTTCAGGACAACCTGGGCTATGTAGCAAGTTCTAGGTAAGCCCAAGTTCCATTGCTAAGACCCACTTCAAAAAATTCCCAACCAACCAACCAACCAACCAACCAACCAACCAACCAACCAACCAAAGTAACATCTTAGGAACAGAGAAATGGCTCATGCTTGTAAACATGATGATTCGAGTTTGATCTTCAGCACCTAAATGGAAAAGCTGGGTACTGCACTGTGTGTTTGTAATCTCAGTGCTGGACAGATAGAGACAGGAGGATCCCCCAGGCTTGCTAACAAGCTATTTAGCTAAATCAATGAGAGGCACTTGTCACAAAAACAAAGGTAGGTGGTACCTGAATAGGAATGGCATTTGGTGTTAACCTCTGATATACATGCACATATGTAAAAACACATTAATGAGAATCAATACTGAAATTTTAAAACATAACTTCAGTATCATGTCATGAAATTATAGTGTCTGGTAGGTCCCTACTCCAAGCCACATAGTGAAAAAATGGCTGCCCAGAATCTAACCATAATAGTGTGCTTTTGTGTTTGCTTTCTGATCTATGGATTATACCAGTCAGACAAGCAAAGCAACTGTCTTCAACAAAAACTTTCCTATAACAAAAAATTAAATTATGAACATCTGGGTTCTCATTTTAGTAAGGGTGCCTCACATTTCACTAAATATTAGCTTTTTGGAGTACCTGTGTGTAGATCCATGTGAACCTCCTTTAATGAGGGCTTTTCTTGGGATAGGAGTGGGGGTGGGTAATATCACTTAATCTGCATTATGTATTTCTTTAACAAATGCTCTCTATTTCAGGACACAGTAGCCAACATGAGCAGCGGTCCTGAGCCTCCATTCTTCACAAACCTGATAGCTACACTTATCCCTAATATTCAAGATAGAACACCAATAGGAAGAAATTTTGGTGATGTCCTGCAGCCAGCAAACCCTGAATACAGAGTGGTAAGATTCACAGGAAAGTCTCCAAATGCTTTAGGAATTTGCTTCAAGAAGAGACGTTGCTTGACATCATTGCCTGGTCCTAGTGGTACCATATTATTACTTCAGCAATGATGATGATGACAACATTGTAGTGACAATGATGCTGTTGACATCTATTTTGGTCTCTGCCGAGGTTCTGCAAAAGACAGGGGAATGGGAAACACTGCTTTTCCTCCTGGCAGTTAACTACATTGAACTGAATTTCTAAAATGCAAATTATTCTTTCTATTAAATAGATAGCCAGGATATTGTGCACAGGAGTTGGGCCAAGTTGTCTTTTAGATCAAGGGGTAGAAAAGTGCCCAGAAATGAACCAGGATCCACATCACTTCATTTTATGTTAAATTTGTGTTCTGCATCCTTGCTGAAAGATGCATTAATTCTGAAAGGTTCATTTTCTTTTGTTATGAATTCCTTAGGGAGTTCTACACTTATTATATAACCAGTAAATGAAATAACTTTATTTATTCACGTCCAGATTTCTCTTTTTTCTAATGGACCATGACTAAGTTTCATAGTCATGCTTTATTAATCATCAAATGTTCTAGAATATAGTGTTAGCTTCTCATTGCTGTAATAAAACAACTGAGAGAGCAACCGAAGGCAGTTGTATGAGTTAATTTTCTCAGTGCTGTGACAAGGTATCTGACAAGCACCGCCCAAGGATGGAAGAGTATGTTTTTGGCTCACAAATGGAGAATTCAGTCCACCATGGTGGGAAAGCCATGGCAGTGGTATGTGAGGCGGTTGGTTACACTGCCCCCACTGTCACAACAGAGAGGCAAACGCTGGTGCTGTTTGCTTTCCCCCTTTTTATTAAGTCTAGTCGTCTAGCCTGTGGGATAGTGCCACTCATCCATTGTCAATTAGCCCCCTCTGGAAGCTTCATAATGATCCCAGATGTATGTTTCCTTGGTGATTCTAATCTTACCAAGTTGGAGGTGAGAGTTAAGTATCATGGCTATGGAGAGGATTTATTTGGTTCATGGTTTCAGAGGTTTCAAATCTGTCACTTGGCTCCATTGACCTGGGTTTATGCATGGTGAGGTAAGACATCATGAAGGAAAGGTGTAACAAGGGAAATCTTCCCATCTCACAATGTCTGGGAAATATAGAGAAACACATGGATTAGCCAGGAACAAGATAATAGCTTTCAAAGACCTGCTCTAAGTGACCTACTTTCTCGACCAGGTCTCACCCCTTAATGATTCAGTCAGTATAAGTTCATAGTATATAAAAATGGATAGGCCCACTGGTAACATTAGTACCATCACACTCCAATCATCTCTGGACAGTTCTAATTCCTGGAATACCAACCTTCAACATAGTAACCACTGTGGGAGGGAGGACAAATCCTGTTTAAACCACAACAAATCTGGACTAGGATTTCTGAGACTTGGTAGCCATGGCTTGTTTCTGATTTTAGGAGACAAGTATTCAGAGTTCCCATGTTTGTTTGTTTATTTATTTATTTATTTGTGTGTTGTGTGTGTGTGTGTGTGTGTATCTGTCTCTTTGTCTGTGTCTGTGTGAGTGTATGCTGCATACGTGTGGGTACCCATATATGACAGAAGGGGGTTACAGCATCTTGGAGCTGGAGTTATAGGTGGTCATGAGCCATCAAGAGTGAGTTTTCTGTGAGAACAAGAATTGCTCTTAACTGCACAGTCTCAATATGCCCTTTAATGCTTTAATGTGACATTTGTCTGTATTTCAGGAGACAACTTTAATCAGGTCAGGACAGTTTTCTTTCATCCTTAGTGTACTGAGAGACTTTCCTGGCAGTAGATATGGGATTTTTTGTGAGTGCTTTTCTGTGTTACTTAAGTGACCATGTGGTTTTCTTTAATTCTGTCTATTAATATTCTCTACTATATTAGTTGGTTTTCAGATATTAAAGTCTGCTGCTTCTGGTGACTTATCTATTCTATGTGCTGTCTGCTTTGCTCTCACACTGTTCTGGAGTTTAGGCCCATGTCCAAGGGAACGTTTTGACTGCTTCTGGTGTCAATGTTATAAAGCACGAGTAGGGAGGTGTTTCCTCTTGTGTTTTCTGGAAAACTATACAAAGGATATGAACGAATATTCTTTGATTATTATTTACTCCGTTCAAGCTGCAAAAGCAAATGGACTTGGGCTTTTCTTCCTGGCCAACTTTTTTATTAAAGTTTTTAGTTTGCATAAGAAATAATGAGTCTCATCAGAGTATTTTCATCCATGTTGTCTTAGTTAGAGTTTCTATGCTGTAATAAAACACCGTGAACAGAATCACCTTGGGGAGGAAAGGGTTTATTTCATCTTATAGCTTGATGTCCAGCATCCAGGAAAGGTAGGGCTTGAGTCCGAGGTAGGAATTGATGCAGAGGACACGAAGGAGTGCTGCTTACTTGTTTGCTCCTCCTAACCTGCTCAGTTTTTCTTATACACCTCAAGACCACCTGGCCAGGTGGGCACAATGGACAGTTGGCTAGGGCCTACCATATAGGTCATGAATCAAGAAATTGCCTAACAGACCTGCCTACAAGCTGTTGGTTAAGTTTCCTTTTCCAAAGATGGCTCTAGCTTGCATCAAGTGGAGACAAACTAGCCAGCCCAAGTGTATATCACAGTATTGGGCTTATAGTTGCTCCTCTGCTTGGCTTCCCCTGTGCCCCTTCTTCTGGTTTCCTTATTCTCACAAAAAGGTCCCTGTCTGTTTTCATTTCCTATGTATATATGTTTAAATCTAGAGAAAACAGGCAACCCCATTACCCTCTCTTCGCCTCTGCTTCCACTTTAGCCATATTCCTTACCCCAACATAGTTCCCTTTATACTTGAAGGCTATACATATTATGTATTATATTTTGTATGCATATTCATCTTCTTTGAATTTTATATCATTTTGATTATCAAACAAAGACACAGGTTTCATTTTTATATTTTTACATGCACATATATTATCATTATATTTTGCTCTTATATGCTCTTTCACTTCCTTCCCATAAGTCTCCTCAAACTTGCTTTTTCAGGCAAGAGCTGGGATAAATCATGACCCTTAGCTTGGCTTGCTGATTTCCTGTTAGAGCTTGTAGACTTCCTCATTAGACTAATGTGTCTCTGCTAAGTGACTTGGGAATCATATTCCATTGGCCAACCACAGTCTCATCCCCAACCAAGTTGATGCAACTAAATGTTCATGAGCTACAACACCCAAGCTGGGCTTGGAGTGAAGAAGAAAAGCCTCTGTGACTGTGATTAGATGGAGTTTAGACAGATATGGAGTGAAGAAGAAAAGCCTCTGTGACTGTGATTAGATGGAGTTTAGACAGATATGGAGTGAAGAAGAAAAGCCTCTGTGACTGTGATTAGATGGAGTTTAGACAGATATGGAGTGAAGAAGAAAAGCCTCTGTGACTGTGATTAGATGGAGTTTAGACAGATATGGAGTGAAGAAGAAAAGCCTCTGTGACTGTGATTAGATGGAGTTTAGACAGATATGGAGTGAAGAAGAAAAGCCTCTGTGACTGTGATTAGATGGAGTTTAGACAGATATGGAGTGAAGAAGAAAAGCCTCTGTGACTGTGATTAGATGGAGTTTAGACAGATATGGAGTGAAGAAGAAAAGCCTCTGTGACTGTGATTAGATGGAGTTTAGACAGATATGGAGTGAAGAAGAAAAGCCTCTGTGACTGTGATTAGATGGAGTTTAGACAGATATGGAGTGAAGAAGAAAAGCCTCTGTGACTGTGATTAGATGGAGTTTAGACAGATATGGAGTGAAGAAGAAAAGCCTCTGTGACTGTGATTAGATGGAGTTTAGACAGATATGGAGTGAAGAAGAAAAGCCTCTGTGACTGTGATTAGATGGAGTTTAGACAGATATGGAGTGAAGAAGAAAAGCCTCTGTGACTGTGATTAGATGGAGTTTAGACAGATATGGAGTGAAGAAGAAAAGCCTCTGTGACTGTGATTAGATGGAGTTTAGACAGATATGGAGTGAAGAAGAAAAGCCTCTGTGACTGTGATTAGATGGAGTTTAGACAGATATGGAGTGAAGAAGAAAAGCCTCTGTGACTGTGATTAGATGGAGTTTAGACAGATATGGAGCCTGGTGGTGAGGACTTTTGTCTGTTTCTGTGATGTACAAATTTGCTTTTTAAATATTTTTGTTAGCACTCAAAGAAATTGAGAAAACAGGTCCAAAGGGAGGGTGGAAGTGGAAAGAAGGGAGGGTCATAGAACATACATGTCATCAAAGAAACCTGGCATATATATATATATATATATATATTAAACCCCATACTTTCTTTTGCTACTATCACATCACAATATCATATATGTATTTACATGTGAGGCAAAGCATGCAGTTTTTGTCTTTCTGAGTCTTGCCTCTTTTTTTTTTTTAACTCAGTGATCACCATTTCTATTTCATTTCCTGCCAATTTAATTATCCTTCATAATGGCATAAAGTTCTATTGTGCTACATTTTCTTTACCTATTCGTATGTTGGATGGTTTCCTATCTTAGCTCGTGTTCATCATCCTGTAATAAACATACATGTGCAAATATTTTTTCTGGTATGCTTTGCTGGTTAGTTTTTGTCATGCTGACACAAACTGCAGTCACCTAGGAAGAGGGAGCCTCAACTGAGGCATTTCCCTCCTCTCCTCAGATTGGTCTGTGGATGTATCTGTGGGGCATTTCCTTGATTAACGATTGATGGAGGAAACCCACTGAGGGTGGGTCACTCCTGGGCAAGCGGTTCTGGATTGTATAAGAAAGCAGGCTGAGCAAGAGATGGGGAGCAAGCCTGACTCCGCCATGGTCTCAACTTCCGTTCCTGACTTCAGGTTGCTACTTTGAGTTTCTGCTCTGAATTGCCTCACTGATGGGCTGTGAAGAGGAAGTAGAGGCCCAATACACTCTTTCTTCTCCAGGTAGTTCTTGGTCAGTGTTTTATCCCAGCAATAGAGAGGGGTGCTAAATCTGGATCATCTCCTAGTTCTAGCTTTAGTTTCTGAGTGGCCTCAGTACTGACTTACGTATTGGCTGCCTAGTGTACATTTCCAACACCAGGTGAGAAGGGTTTCTCTGCCTCCCATCCTCATCAACAGTGGATGTTGCTGGTTTAGTTGACAGTAGCCAGTCCAACAGGCACAAGATAAATTGTCATTGTAGTCTTAAACTGCATTTCTCTGACAGCTGATGATGTTGCGTTCTTGAAGAAAATATCACTAGGACATTTGTTGTTCTTTTCAGAACATTCTGTTCCATTCATTAGCTCATTTATTGATTAGATGATTTGTTTGGGGATTTAATTTCTAGACTTCTTCTATAGAGCCTAGGTATGAATACATAATTAGATCTTGTGATGACTAGAGTTAATTGTCAAACTTGAAAGAATTTAGACTCACCTGGGAGATGGGCCTGTAGAAAATTATCTTGGAAGATCCAGCTTTTCTTTCTCTTTCTCTGACTTTAACCTATTTATTTATTTATGTATCTATTTTTAGGACTTAAATTGTCTGTTAGGAGAGGCTACTGTGGTATAATCCCCAGCAAAATTTGCCATTGAGGTTTATAGTCATGCAAGTTTTGTTTAAGTGATAAAATTTGTTATTGCACGTTTCATGCACTGTGGAATGCATTGGGATTACTCACTCCCACTGTCTCTTGTCTCCACCTCCACTCATGCTGATACTCCCTCCTCCCTACAGGTCCCTTCCAATGTTCTTGTCTTTTTTGTTTTGTTCTATGTCCCACTGGGTTTACTCTGCACCATCTGCACGATCATGGATGTAGAATTAGACAATGGAACCTGTTAGGCACACCAGTGGGTACATGTCTGAAGATAATGACTCCTCATCTCTAGAATTCATGAACACTGGTTTAGAAGGGATGGGTAAGACCCCATGATAAACTTCCCATTTCTTGACTGACTTTCGACAGGTTCAGTCGTGTGTGAGGCCAGTGCAACTGCTGTGAGCCCATGATTTTAATGGTTATGTCAAGTCCAGAAAACAGCATTTCACAGCCCTCCTACCCATGTCCTGGTTATTATATTTTTTCTATACCTTCTGCGGTATTCCCTGAACCCTACATGGAATGATATAAATGCCCTCTTTAGGACTGAGAACTCAACCAGCTTTTTTATATTCAGCACTTTGAACAGGCAAGAATCTGAATTCACTGGTATTTATTATATAGAGAGATTTCTATGATTAAAGGTAAGAGAAACATTTGTCTCTGATTACATCAGCATTTGGAAAGTAGTCTGACACAGTTTCAGTCTTAGTTGTAGGCAGGACGTTTTTTTTTTTTGGAAAGGAGATCAGGTCTGTACAAAATGGAGAAACATAGGGGCTGAAGCAATGACTCAGCCCTTAAGAGTGTGTACTCTTCTTCCCAGGGACATGAGTTTGGTTCCCAGCACCGGTGTTGGGTGGCTCATAGTCACCTGTAACTCCAGTTCTAGAGGGAGCTGAGGCATCTGGCCTCAGCAAGCACCAGCACTCATGCAGACACGCACACACACACACACACACACACACACACACACATCACACACACACACACACACACACACACACACACACACACACACACACACACACACACACACACACACACACACACACACACACACCATACACACAGGCCCAATTAAAAATGAAATAAATCTTTAAGAAAATGTAGTAAGTGAGTTCAGTGCTGCCTTGACCTTTGAACTGTGAGCCAGAATAATCCCTTTCTCACATAAGTTGCTTCTGTCAGGGTATTTTATTGTAGGAATCAGAAAAGAAACTAAGATATATACTTGGCAAAGATTTGGGGTGTCCTGGAGATGCTTCTCCACTCTGTTGATGGTTTCCTTTGCTGTATAGAAGAAGTGCTCTAATTTCATGAAAAGTCATTTGTTAGTTCTGGGATTATTTCCTATGCTATTGGATATCATTGTTGAGGCTGAACCTTTGTCAACGACTGAGTGGCTGTAACTGTGTGGCTTCCCTCCTGATTTCTGTGTGACCTATGTGACATTTTTTTCATGATAGGGTTCTGTAATATAACTTGAAGTCCTTTTAATATTTTATCATATTGAAATTATGGCTCTGAGTCTTCATTTATATCTGAATCTGCCAAAACAAAATTCTTTAACCCCAATTCCTAACAAACTCAAAAGGGAATCAATTAAACAGAGCAAAATATATACAGAAATGCACACAGTTATGATCCTAGAATGTAAAGTAGATAATGTTCCAAATTCGAATACAGTGAAGAGGTTTGTATTAGATTTAATTAAGTGCCCTCTGTATTTGCAGGGAGAAGTGGTTGAAGTTACATTTGTAGGCGCTAACCCAAAGAATTCAGCAGAAAATCAGGTGAGCATCATTGTCTTCCAAATTTAAATCCACTTTTAAGGGTTTCCTTCATTTTACAGGAGGATCTCGTATATCCAAAAAGATACCCACTTTTCATACTTTATATTGGGAGGTGGGAAAATACTCAATGGGTACAGTTAATGTGGGATTGGGTGTGGAGCATAACACACAGGAATACTGATGGACCCTTCATAGTGTCATGTGTAGAGTAACTCCTGCAGGGCCACACTGCTTCTCCAGAAGTTATGGATCCAGAGGCATTCTCATTCACGCATTTAAATTTAGAACTTACTAAGTTGGTTAGCATATTGAAAAGGCCTAAATAAATAAATAAATAAATAGATGGAGCGATTTCCTCCCCTTTCGGGGACCTTCTGAACCCTTCCAGTGTTGCTACTCTAGACCTTTCTCTTGTGCTTTGGAGTGATCCCATGCGGGAACATGCCTTAAGAGTTCTATCCCATGTGCTTTGTGTTAGTTTATGTGTTGATACATCGTTTATGATTCATTAAAGCTCGCCTTCCTGTTGACACAATAGAATGTTTAACTTAGAAAAATGATGTAAGAAGTATATGCCTGGTATGAAAACAAACAGCATGGAAAATAGTAAAATTAAACACAGAAGTGCCTTTCTGCCCACAAATCTGTTTCTTAAAGTTAATTACTGTTGATAATTTGTCACAGCACATGTGCTATGCTTTGCTTTTATGATATATATGATAACCCCCCTACATGTATATAACATGTCTAGAAATTAAATGACTATAGTCTTCTGTAATTTCCTTGTATCCACACAAACAATAACGGTACAGGTGCTGATTGTAAACATCTAATCAAACTAGATACAATGACTCACAGTTGTAACCACAGAACTTGGGAAGTGGAGACTAGATAACCAATAGTTGGAGGCCTGCCTGTTCTATACAGCAAGGATTTGTCTCAAAAACTAAGGAAGCTGGTTGGTAAAGTGACTCAGTTTGTGAAGAGGCTTGTCACCAATCCCGAGGAACCTGCTTCAGTCCCAGGAACCCACAGCGAGGAAGGACAGAATTGACTCCCACAATCTATCCTCTGACTTCAACATGTGTGCTGTGGCATGCATGACATCCCTCACGGAATATGCCCAATAACATAAAATGAACAAAATTTTAAAAATACTAAACAAAATAAAAGAAGGTAACAACCACTACCACAAACTCGCAACATAATTTGAAGACATTTTTGGAAGAAAGTGGGCCTATAAAAGTGATTTTTAGTCACCTGACTGTGACTGTAGCCATTATATTGAGTTGTTCTTCCTAGGGCCCCAAATCACTTATAATCTAAAACAAACTTCCTCCCAGATGAGCTGTGTCATTTCTATCTATTCAAATGCCATTGCTCTATCATAGAATTGTGGCACTATGGTACTATTACAGTAAGTTCTGGGAAAATGTTCTAATGTTTGAACAGTCCGTGTGCACCTGTGGTCAAGCTCCTCCAGAACGTTTGCGTGTTCATAATGTTACTTTCTGAAGATATCAAAATACTGTATTGTCCCCGACATCCTCAGAGGACTCAGATCACCACTGCTGGGAGAACAGAGTGCTAACAGCATCATGATGAGAGCTCTTAGGATTCTCTGAAATGATGCAAACAATTTCTAGTGCTGTTTATTACCTTCAAGCATCATATTATAATTATCCCTAATTGCTGAGCAATTGTTGTCCCCAAGTATTAAGCTAGATGCTTTATATTTACTACTATATGCATTCTTATTATTTATTAATAATATAAATATTAAACACAAGCTTACTTCACATGTCAATCCCAGCTTCCTCACCCTCCCCTCCTCCCCTGCCCCTTCAGTCCCCCCAGCCTCCCACCTCATCCCCTCTCCGCTCCCCAGGGAGGGTGAGGCCCTCCATGGGAGATCTCCAAAGTCTGTCATATCATCCAGGGCAGGGCCTAGGCACTCCCCCATGTATCCAGGCTGAGAGAGCATCCCTCCATGTGGAATGGGCTCCCCAAGTCCATTCATATGCCAGGGATAAATACTGATCTACTTTCCTGAGGCCCCATAGGTTGCCGAAGCCTCCTCACTGACATCCTCTCTACTATCCAGTAGCTTGTTTTATTAACCTTACTTTGTATATAAGTAAACTCAGTAGCAGAGAGATTAACTTTTAATAAATATGTACCTGCAAGAGATTATGATAGGTAAGTAAGGAAAAGTAGTCACAAATTTTGTCATGAAAGTTTGGGTACCTAGACATGTATTCCAACCTGTATTCTAGACCTAGTTATTAGAGACCTTCATCCCTCCTACTCCATCTAAGGCCCCCACAACATCACCATGTCCTCAATGTGCAGAAACAGTTCTCATTTTTAGTCCCGATGGTTATGAACACTTCCTTATTAAATGTCTTGTAGCAGTTGAGTAATTAGAGAATTCTTTTAAGCAATGACATATAAATATAAATAACTAATCTGTTTATTAAAGTTATGCGGAGGCTTATAAGAAGCAAGGATAAAGAGTTGTGAAGAGTAAATAAAGATAAAGCAGACACAACTCCTATTTGTGTGTGTTCATGTAGATGTGGGCATGTACTGCTGTAGGTACATACACATGGGTACCATTTGCTCTCTACCTTTTTTTTAATTTTGAGTCAGTGCTTCTCATTGAACTTGGTGCCTTAAGGTGGCTAGCCAGTGAGCTTCAGGGATAGATAGATTATAGGCACATCTTCCATGCACCTGTGGCTTCTGGGCATCTGAACATTGGTTCTCACGCTTCTACAGCAAGCAGCTTACCGACTGACCCTTCTCCACAACCCTTGTAGCCCTATCTTTCAGGGAGGCTCTATAAAGGTCTTGATAGTAATGGAGATTTATGGCCTTTTTATTTATTAGCCTGTCATATCATGCAAATCTTTGCTTTATTTGAGGCTCTATTCATGGTTGGAAACAAATTGCTTTATTATAGTAATCTTCCAGGATAGAAATACACCCTGTGTATGATATGGCTTCTAGGCATCTATTATTATAGTGTAGAAGTGTCTTTAGCACCCTAGGACAGGAATAATTTGTGTATTTTTTTTAACTTTTTGACTGAGGAAAGCATGGTAACTATTAATTCAGTTATCTGGATGCAGAGAGGGAGAGGGAGAAAGAGAGGGAGAGGGAGAGAGAGACAGACACAGACAGAAACAGACACAGAGAGACAGAGAGAGACAGAGACAGAGAGACAGAAACACAGAGAGAGACAGAGAGACAGAGAAAGACAGACACACAGAGAGTCAGACAGAGAGAGAGAGAGAGAGAGAGAGAGAGAGAGAGAGAGAGAGAGAGAGAGGAAGATGTCCCATTTCCTCTCCCCAATCATGTGGTGACTGAAGAGACTTATACTCTTGATCTTGATTTATGTCTTTCTAAAATCTCATTTCATTTTAAATTTCTTCTCAGCCCTAATTTCCAAATTTTCTGTGAATACCATAATTATGCTTCCTTAAAATCCCTAAACTTTTGTGTATTTTGTAAAGGGAGTAAACTTCTGCAGACACTGCATAAAGGGGTGTGCCTGGGAATTTGGGTAAAATCCCAATGATGTGCTCATCAGACACTGGTGAGATGGTGTGTAGCCAGGGTGGGCTGGTGCTGCCTGGATCTCTCTGTAACTGTGTTGTGCTTGATGTAGTGTTAATTATATTTTAGACCCATCAAACCTTCCTCACTGTGGAGAAATATGAGGACTCTATAGCCGACTGGCAGATATTGTATAATGATGCCTCCTGGGAAACGAGGTAAATGTCTATTGATTATTTGTCTGTGAAGTCTTGAAAACAGTTGCTTCGCAATGTAAGAAGGACACACTAAAAGACTTCTTAATACATGACATGATATTAATGATACCAAATTTCCAAGGTTCCTTCTTGCCACATTTAATTGATTTATTAGGCTCCATTTTGATTCTATTGACTGAAAGCAGCATAGTGTCGGCTTCCTTAGGATTTGGTACAATGAGATGTTGGCTGACATCATTTGGTTTTTATTTTAATATTTTTGTGGGGTAGAATCTACAGTCTGGTACATACTAGGAAAGTGCTGTATCCCTGAGCTACAGCCCCTTGCATCTTCTATCAACTTGGTTTTCCTCACAGTCACAGGAATTCCTTTAAAAACTAATCAGCCTTCTTATAAATTGGTTGAAAATTGTACTAGGTGAAGGAGTTGACATAATTCGGTAGAGTTTATTGTAGAGGTCCTTCATCTGCTTGGTTAGGCTTATTCCTAGATATTTTATTTTTCTTGAGGCTATTGTGAATGGGAATGTGTCTGTGATCTCTTTTTCAATGTGTTTATTGTTGGTGCATAGAAAAGCTATTGATTTTTGTAAGCTGATTTGTATACTGCTACTTTGTTGAAATTGTTGGGTGATTCAAGATTGTTTCTGATGAAATTTCAGATCTCTTACATATAATATCACATCATATGCCAAAAAGAATAATTTGACTCCTTTTTGTTTTGTTTTGTTTTTTTGAACATGGTTTCTCTGTAGCTTTGGGGACTGTCCTGGAACTCACACTGTAGACCAAGCTGGCCTCGAACTCACAGAGATCCACCTATCTCTGCCTCCTGAGTGCTGAGATTAAAGGCGTTTGCTACCACCGCTGAGTGACTTCTTCTTCCATTTGTGTCTCTTTTATTTTTCCCCTCTTGCCTTATTGCTCCAGTGAGTGGGTAGAGCACAATTTTGGAGAGGAGTGGGAATAGTGAACAGCCCTGTGTCATTCCTGATTTCAGTGAATTGGTTCAAGTTTTTGTGTAATTAGGATGATGTTGGCTGTGGATTTGTCATATGTAGCCTTTATTATGCTGAGGTGTATTCCCTTTAGTACTACTTTCTCTGGGACTTTTATCATGAAGGCATGTTGATTTTTGTCAAGTGCGTTTTCTGCATTTATTGAGATGATCATGTGATTTTCTTTGGTTTTTAAGTTCACTTATGTGATTGTTTTTATTGGTTTATGCTGTGTATATATAATCATTCCTGCATTTTGGGGATAAAGCCAACTTGATTGTGGTAGATAATCTTTTGGATATGTGTTCTATATTTGGTTTGTAAGTGTTTTATTGCAGATTTTAAGATCTGTCTTCACCAGGGATATTGGCCTGTAGTTTTCATTGTTTGTTGTGTCTTTACCTGGTTTTGGTATTAGCATGACCCTGACTGCCTAGGAGGAGTCTGGGAGTGCTCTTTATCTGAAGTGTTTGAAAGGGATTGCCTGTAAGTCTTGGAGAATTCTAAACCTGAACTTTTTTTTTAAGTTGGAAGGCTTTTTACTCTTCTTTCAAACTCTTCATTTGTTTTGCATTTGTGTAAGTTGTTGAGCTCTTGGTTTAATTTTTCTGGGTTCACTGAATCTAGAAATTTGTTCATATTTCTTTTATGTTTTCTAACTTAATGGAATACAAGTTTTTAAAGTATTTCTTTAGAATTTCTTTGGTGGCTATTGTAATGTTTCTCGGTTCATTTCCAATTCTGTTAATTTGGGCCCTCCCTCCCTCCCTCCCTTCTTCCTTCCTTCCTTCCTTCCTTCCTTCCTTCCTTCCTTCCTTCCTTCCTTCCTTCCTTCCTTCCTTCCTTCCTTTTAGTTAGTTGGTCCAAGAGTCTGTTGATCTTGTTTATCTTCTCAAAGAATCACATTTTAGATTTGTTGATTTTTGTTTATTCTTTTTGTTGTTGTTTGTATTAATTTGTTTCAAATTAGTTTCAGCTCTGGTTTTCATTATTTCTTGCCATCTAAATGGGTTTGAGTTTTTTCCTGTTTTTTCCAAATGTTTGAGTTTATCATTAAGTCATTTGTGTGTGTTTTTTCTCTTTTGCTTCTATGAAACAGGATTTCTCTATATAGTTCTGGCTGTCCAAGAACTCACTGTGTACACCAGGCCAGCCTCAAACTCACATAGATCCATGTGCCTCAAGCTCACATTAATCCATGTGGTGGGATTAAAGGTGTGCAATACTATGTCTGACTCTGCTTTTTAAAAAAATTTAGATACTTTAAATATATCTTAAAGTTTTTGTTGTGCTATGTTTCATTTTCCATTAGTTCCAGGTATCTAAATTTTTCTTTCTTCATTTCTTCTTTTATACATTTGTCAGTCAGTAAAGTATTGTTTAATCTCTATGAGTTTGTGTATTACTAGAGATTTGTTGGCTATCTATTTTAAGTTTTATTGCATTGTGGTTAGATAGGAAACATGGAGTTACTTCAGTTTTATGAATTTGTTAAGATTTATTTCGTGTTTCAGCATTTGGTCTGTTTTGGAGCAAATTCTATGGGCCCATACTGATTTGCTGGGTGTGGTATTTGGCCATGGTTCAGGTGTGGTGAAATCTAGTAGTAGGAGAGGAACTTGGACTGGTATACATCCTTGCCAAAGTCTGAGGGTTGGGGGCAGATGGGATGTGACTGACAGGATTGGGATGGGGCACTGGATGTGGGACTCAGCATATATGGGGACCGGAGAGGATGTTCAAAGAGTGGACTCACCAGGCAAGGTTTTGGCAAGAGATATGCACTGAATACTATACCAGCAGATTAAATTTTGTATAGGCAGGTTGAAGTCATCTGGTAGGAAGGGGACCTGGGTTGTGCTGGATGAAAATCCATCATTCTAAAGAACATGTTGTATTTTTTATTTGTTTGTTTTCTATTAACAGGTTTTATTGGCACAAGGGAACACTGGGTCTGAGCAATGCAACAATTGAATGGTATATTCCAGATACCGCACAGCCTGGAATCTACAGAATAAGATATTTTGGACATAACCGGAAGCAAGAACTTCTGAAGCCTGCTGTCATACTTGCATTTGAAGGCATTTCTTCTCCTTTTGAAGTTGTAACTACTTAGTGAAAAGTTGACAGATACTGAAAAAACTGCTTTCCTCTGTGTACATTGTAGAGTGATTTCACACAAATGTGAACTATCAGTTTGATTTTTGTGACTGTCCCTACTTGGGGTGCAGATAGTTTATTGCTAGTGGGACAGATGTGAGTGTTTATATGATTATGCACATGCATGCTCAACAGGAAGGGAGGAAGGGAAGAAGTGAAGGGAGAGCGAGAGAGAGAGAGAGAGAGAGAGAGAGAGAGAGAGAGAGAGAGAGAGAGAGAGAGAGAGAGAGAGAGAGAGAGAGATTACTAGTGAATGAGAGAATAAGTATGAGAGAATTCCTCTGGCAGCCATGCACCTTGCGGTCTTTGTCCTAAAGCATGCTTTTACTTGAGACTTTGTGGTTGCTTAAGAGAAAATTCCCTTTAATATGAAATCTCAGAAAGACAGTATCTGAAGATATGTGAACAATGTTTAACCTATTTATTTATAGACTTATTGAGTGAGAATGCTAGGAAACATTCTAGAAATCCTCTAGATTGATACTTGATTTTCCAGAGATGAATAAAAAGGTAATTTGCTTTAGGTTAGAATAAGATTAGTATATATTTTTGCCTACTTGCATTTACAAAGTGTAATGTATCCTTACTATAAATATATGAGCCCAGCTAAAATACACACAGAAAATTAGCATGCCAGTTTTTCCTGCATTCAAATGATCTTAGTCCTTTCAATCAGTCACTTTGGGATGGGTCTGCCTGGCTCAGGGTTATTGTTCATGCTCAGATCTTTTCTGGAGTTGCCTCCAGAGTCCAACTATGCGGATGTCACTTACAGTGCTTTGATTACACCTTGTATTTCTCAAAGTGTCCTTATCTTGTTAGATCATGTCTATTCTTCCCAAGATTAACTCTAAATGATTTTTAAAGGTTTTCACCAGTAAATGTACCTCAAACTACAAAGTTTTGCCTTGAATGTAGGATTTAAAACAAAAATGTTAAGGTAGTCATCAAAGGGGAAGTTTTAAAAGCACTTATCTGTTCTTTTATCAGCTGCTCACCCACTCATGGTTCCTTTGAGTTATGGAGTAGTTATTTAAACATAAATACACCATGTTGTGCTCGTTGAGATGATTGTGTAAGATGATCCTTTGAAGGATAAAATAGTCAACCAGAAATATAAATTCTGGAGAGACATTTGAAAATCACAAAGTTTCAAGTCATCTAGTATATGTTTTCTATGCTGAGTATTATGATTTGGAAGGAGAGAATCCCCAAAAAATTTTTAAATATTAATCTGAAAATCTAATGAATGAGATAGGATAATCTAACATGAAATGTCTGAAAGTACTAGTTTCATTTAAAATGATCTGAGTTAGTTAGTCAAGTCATATTATTGTAGGTAGGTAAAGCAGTAAGCATTTTAGGAGAAAAGTCAGTCTTCATTTCAAAACTAAGCTTGTTTTAAAAGCAACAATGGTAAGGCAAGCCTGCACTTTTTTCTTATGGCTTATGTACTTAAACACAGTAGACCAAATCAAACGGAGCCCAGAGCATGGCTTGGTAACTCTGTTTTCCAAACAGTGTTTCTAAGGAGGTTAACTGCTGAAGAATGAACTAATCAGGTTTTTCACGGGTTATGAGAACATCTGTCCTGATGAGAACACCCTATTACATGTAAAGGCTCAAGGACTTAACACATTTTGAAAATAATTTATCTCAAAATAAAATACATATTAGAAGCCATGTGTGCTTTAAAATGTATTTCCCATGGCCCAGAACAATATGAGGATGTATTTTCCACCACCATTATCCCCAGTGAAGCTTTTCTCAAAAAGTCTACCTAGGAGTCTCTATCATTGGTAACTATGCCACAGTGGCCATTGTGTTGTGTATCTATGTTCCCAACCCTGCATGGAAATAAATCACAGAAACATAGTTCCTCAGTAGAATTAATCTCTTCCAGCCCATGTGCTTCTAGTTTGCAGTCTATGAAAAAACCAGCCAGGTCCCTTCATTATACAATCATAGTTAACTGGGCATAAAGGAACCTCACGAGGTAACTGATCTGAGCAGTTCATCTAAAGCCACAGACCCTGTTGGTGTCTCTGTCTGGAAATAGCTTTACAGAGTCAAAGTGTGTGGAGGAAACTCTGGAGAAAGGCTGTGGAGAGTGAGTGGTGGTTGGGTTGGTGAGAGCACTGCTTAGGAGAGTCTGTTTGTCCAGCTTAGGAGGAGAGTCTGTTTGTCCGGCTTAGGAGGAGAGTCTGTTTGTCCGGCTTAGGAGGAGAGTCTGTTTGTCCGGCTTAGGAGGAGAGTCTGTTTGTCCGGCTTAGGAGGAGAGTCTGTTTGTCCATCTTAGGAGGAGAGTCTGTTTGTCTGGCTTAGGAGGAGAGTCTGTTTGTCCGGCTTAGGAGGAAAGTCTGTTTGTCCGGCTTAGGAAGAGACTCTGTTTGTCTGGCTTAGGAGGAGAGTCTGTTTGTCTGGCTTAGGAGGAGAGTCTGTTTGTCCAGCTTAGGAGGAGAGTCTGTTTGTCCGGCTTAGGAGGAGAGTCTGTTTGTCTGGCTTAGGAGGAGAGTCTGTTTGTCCAGCTTAGGAGGAGAGTCTGTTTGTCCAGCTGTCTGTTCTTTACTTGTTGTGCCTTGCCTACTCTGATTTCAAGGGTACTGTGATTCCTTCAGAATGCATAGAATAACTTTTTCCAGGTCTATATTTTTGATGCATATTCTGCAAAAATTGTCAGTATTCAAGAGACCATTTAATAATAAATTAAGAATTATACTTGGAAAATGTTTGGGAAAATATTTATTATTTAACACCTTTTTTCATTTACTTTATATACCAGACCACACTTTCCTCTCCCTCCTCCTTCCCGTTCCCTCCCCTGCCTCCTCTACCTCCTCCCTGTCAATTTCTCCACTGTCTGCATTCAGAAAGGGGCAGGCCTCCCATGGGCTTGAAGAAAGCATGGCACATCAAGTTGAGGCAGGACCGAGCTTCTTGCCTTGTATCAAGGCTGGGTGAGGTAATCCAGTATGGGGAACAGGTTCCCAAAAGCCAGCTAAGTACCAGGGAAAGGTCCTGATTTCACTGCTAGGAGTCTTACAAATAGACCAAGCTACAGAACTGTCACACACATGTAGAGGGCTTATAAGGGTCAGTCCCACGAAGTCTCGCTAACAGTTGGTCCAGAGACTATGAGCTCTCAGGAGCTCATCTGTCTCTCTGGGTTCCCTGGTCATGACCTTAATCATCCTGGCTTATACAATTCCTCCTCCCTTTCATCAGCAGGACTCCCAGACCTCAGCCCCGTGCTTGACTCTGGATCTCTGCATCTGCTCCTATCAGTTACTGGATAAATGCTCTCTGATGACAATTAGGGTAGTCACCAATGTGATCATAGTAGTTAGCCAGTTCAGGCTCCCTCTCCACTATTGCTAGGAGTCTTAGTTGGGGTCATTCTTATAGATTTCTGGAGGTTTCCCTGGCACCAGGCTTCTCTCTAACCCTGAAATGTACCCCGCCCTCATCAAGATTTTTCTTTGGTTAGCTATGAGGGTCACCTATCACTGTCAAGAGCTTTGGCAATTTCCAAAGCTAATTTACATATCATGAAAAGTAAAACAAATCAGTTGGAGTATAGCACTAACAACTTTTATAGAGAGAAATGAAGGCAGAAGATGGTTTTACCCATATTTAGAAGATGCTTCAAAGAGCTATGACAATAAGGAACTTTTCTTCCTTCAGTAACTCTGATCACATTTAGGGTGAGTATTTTAAGTTTTAAGAACTGCTTTTATGAATGGAGAAGGCTTTAGAGACCCCATCGAGAAGATGGTGTTCCAATCTTCAAGGGCATATTATTTTTTATTTTTTTGGATTAAGTAAATAACATCTTAGCAGTCATCTTTGGGCATAGAAGGGAGTCTTGCAAGAAATGAGGTATTCCTCCATGGTTGGGAGACATGACACTTATCAGAGGAATCTAAGGTCTCCCTCATTTTTCCTGTGCTTCACCATGATACCATCAGAGCGCCAAGAATCTAGTTTTAAATGATTACCACCAAGTGCTTTTTAGGAATTGTCTTCTTATAGAAAATTTGAAAAATATGCACTACTATAAAAACTGATGTGATGATAGACTTCCTACCTCACCATGCAGCTTTAGGAATTTTGTACATTTCCTGATGTGTTCTCGTTTTTTTTTTTCTTTCCCGTTTTCTGGGATGGGGAGAGGTTGATCTGGATGTTTCTCTTGAAAATAGTGTTTCTTTACCAAAGACATTTTCTTCACTTAACTGCAAGGTCACTTTCATGTCTGACAAATTCAATGTTCCTTGATTCCATCTAATGCATAGTTGATGGCCAAATGGCCACCATTGTCTAAAGGATGTCTTTTCGTGCTAGTTACATTTAATCAGTCCATTCTAACTTTGTGCTCAGCATTTTTACTTGCCTCTTATGTTGAACTTACTATAAAGCAGTTCTCACACCTTCTTTCACTCCTTCATTTGTCAGGAAAACCGTCTTGTCTACTAGGTATTTTCCCCCATGCTATGACAAATTCCTTCTTCCTTTATTTTTCTTGTCTTTACTGTTTGTAGGAAACATCCTTCCTTCCTTCCTTTCTTCTTTCTGTATTTCTTTTTTGTGTATATATGCATGTGATGTGCAGGCATGTTCATGAGTGTCAGTGCATGGGTATGCACAAATTTGGAGACAGAAGTTGACCTCAGGTGTCCTTCTGGATTACTCTTCACTTTGGTTCTTGGGGAATGGCCTCTCAAGGAATTGGAACATGCCAATTCAGCTAGTCTAGGTTCCCAGCTTCCTGGAAAAATTCTTTAGCACTAGGGTTACAGGCGCCTGCCATACTCATCGGGCTTTTACATGGATTCCGGGAATCTGAACTGTGGTCTTCATGCTGGCATAGCATGCAAGCCCTTCATCATTCAAGTCAAAATCAGCCCCTTATCTGTTTATTTAGTCTTTTTTCCCCCACAGGATCTCATTCTATCTTTGAAGTTACTATATAGCTGAGGATGACCTTGGACCTATGAGCCTCATATGACTACCACCATGGGATTACAGATGGGTACCATGACAGCACCCCTAGCTTAAATTTTGATTAGATTCAGTTTCAATTTTGATTGGATTTCATTTCTTTTTGCCAACAAGGCTTTGCTGGTAAATGTTTATTTTCTATTTCACAAAGCTAGAGACACACAATATCTGTTTTCTCACTTCAACCTTGATTGACACTCTATTCAGAAGCTGTCAGTCTGATCCATCCCTTTTAAAGATCTCTGTGAACCATGGAGTCAGGCACTCCCTCCAAAAATGTTTTTTTCTGTCTCCCAGAAAAAGCAACATATAGACCACTGTGGGGAAAGGAAATGCCTCATGCTCCTGCACGGTATTTCCTCCTGGTCTTGTCAGTGGAGGGAACTGGCATGCGTGCATAATACAGAAAGAAGGAAACAGGAAGAAGAGCCTGATGCTTCAAATGCCTCTGAATTTTATATTTGTATTAGTTTTACACTGGAAATCTTGGTTCCTTAAAACATTAACATTTGTGCTCATGGTATGCTTTGAAAAATTAAAATTTTTTATTGACCATGAATTGAGGTGTTGGCTAGTTTTCATCAGCTAGACACAAACTAGATTTGCCTGGGAAGAGGGTGCCTCAGTCAAGGCGTTGCCTCCATCAGACTGACGTGTGGGCATGTCTGTAGGACATTTTCTTGGTTGATGATTGATGTGAAAGAGCCAAGCCCACTCTTGGTGGTGGCATCTCTGGGCAGGTAGTCTTGAGTGCTATAAGAAAGCAGGTTGAGCAGGCAGAGGAAGGGAGCCTGGAAGTAAAGCCCCATGGTCTGTTTCAGTTCTTGCTCTGACTTCCTTGCTCAAGTGTAAGTCAGCCAAACCCTTTCCTCCCCAAGTTGCTTTTGGTTGCTATTTTATCAGAACAGAAAAGTTATGACAGTGACTTTTTATTTCACTATGCTTGGGTTTTGAATAAATAAAGAAAAAATTGAGTGCTTTTAAGTTCTAAAAGACTTTTTAAAAAATTCACCCTTTATCCCCTAGTGCTTATAGGGTTTCATCATTTGCTTTCAGAAATACACTGATGGACAGTAGCCTGGAATTGTTAGCTAAAATAAACCCTTTCTCCTATCAGTTTTTTTGGTCTGGTGTTTTTCATCACAGCAACAGAAAGGTACCTAGAACAAATACATTGTTCTGTTTTGTAGAGTGTATGTGTGTTTACAGTATTTGTTAGGTATTGGTAACCCTATTATATTCACTTATAGAAAGTATTTATTAAATTTCAAGCTCTGCTTCTTTTTTCTATACTGCCTTAGAGCTCAGGGGTGAGCAGGACTGACTGTTCTTATTTCATGAAGTTCTTTTCTGAAACCATCTGGGTGTGGTGACTTTCATTTGTCTTATTTCATTATTTTTATTAATGGGAAAGCACTTTTGTGATTTTCTCTATTTCCCTGTAGATACTGGTTTATTTAGTCTTGCTAATTTGTGAAGAAATTATTTTTTTCTAGGTCATTTTATTTAGATTGCCAATTTTAATGGTAGGCTGTATACTATATATTTTAGGTATTTTCCATTCTCCATAATTTGTCAATGGTTTACATTTGCCATCTCCTGTAGGTGACTTGCTCTTTCCAACAGCCATGCTGCTGTTTTCTCACTGTTTAGCTGAGTGTCCCCTGCTTTACCACTAAAATAGTGCCCTCCCCTTTTGTCTGTCATGTGCATTTCCTTCCTAGCAATGCTCCCTCCTGATTTGACCTATGGAGTCTTCTATTGTGCCAACCACTGTGGCCCCAGTGCATAAACATGACCCGATGGGTAGCTATTTCTGTCTAGTAGCTACTAAAATGAATTAAAACCAGTCTTTTTGTGTGCTGAGAATCAGGTAGTAGGTTTCAGGAAAGGGGAATCCTGCTGCAACTCTTGTTACATTTTGATATTTTCTGCAGGAAGCCTTTAAGTAGGAGTTACATGGCATCTTCACAGTTCGCCGTAGTAAAGGCTGGTAAATCTTATGCCTAAGGCCTTGATTTGCCTTTGATATTAAATTTGTCTTTCTAAACACAAGGGTGTTCATTCAATGTGTCATCTGTCTTAGTGGACTAGATTTATGAACAGGGGAGGCAACTTATCTCTAGAGGTACAAAATATGTAAAAATAAGTCAGGACCCTAGAAAACATGGATTCCCAACCAACTGTCTGCCAAGTATGGTAAATCTAGACAGAGGACTCAGGGCAGCTCCCACAAAGACTGGGTCTTTGGGCCCTAAGCCCCAGTGTCCATGGCTAGCTCTGAGTCACCTGCAGAGCCTCTAGTGTAGCTCTGACCATTATAAAAAATTAGTTTAAGGTGTGTTACTTTTGTTTATGCTGCATTTGTTTAACTCTATGAAGCTGTGATTATTTGCCTGCTAAGAGAGTCACAGAGTAAGAGTGAAAGTAAGGTATAGAGAAATAAAGAATGCTAAAAGCTCAGAGACAAAGGTAGACAGGATAAGTTAAGGAAAGCTGGCTAGAGATAAGTCAAGCTAAGACTGGGCATTTGTAAGTAATAATAAACCTCCATGTGTTATTTGGGAGCTGGATGGAGGGTCCCCCAAAAGAGTAAAGAGCCCAAAGAGTCAAAACGTAAAACACCAACAACTACACCTGACCTAAGGTTAGTCTGATGGTTCTTAACCTTGAATGATAATGGAGATGAAAATTAAATGGAGAAGAAACAGTCTTAATAAGTATCC